GAGGCAGCTTCATAAACTTATTATTAAACTCCTTCTCAGATGTTAAATCCAACCTGTACTCACTGCTTCAGGGGGAGCATTCTGGCCCCACCCCTATACAGTACAGGCTTCTTCACATGTTACAACCTTCAAAAATTTGAGCTCCTAATTCAGACAGAGATCCCCAGAGAAAACATACATTCTGTCTCCAGACTTATCACCCTCCTTGTGTAGAAGACTAATGAATAACAGTGGAAGGGATGCCACAACTAGGGATGGGCTATTCAAGTCTCTGCTCAGCTGATGAGTGGTTGGCTGCATGGGGAGGCAGAGAAGAGCCAGCTGGGCTCCTTCTGCAATTGGCTCCACATGGTGAATGAGGAGTGGACTGCTCAGTTCTGGGGGGAGGGAATGGGTGCCATGATTCGCATTTATATACCCAGCGATACGAATACCCCATGTCTAGGCACAACCTTTAACTGAAAGCTGATCACAAATTTCCAGTCCCATGGAGTTTTGTAAATCTGACTACTTGAATGTGCAAGTGGGGGGGACAATGTGTGAAGATACACCTAGAAGTGAAGGTGTGCTGCCATGAAGGCAACATTTCATTGGTTTCCTACATTCTAAAACAACCACAAAAAATGGTGTTATCAGACTCTCACGTTTTAAGATCCAAGGGGTTCAGGAGGCCAGCCCCACATTCCAAAGCCTATTGAGTTGAACTATTTTGTTTACTGAATGTTCAAGCTGCCTTTCCAACAAGCAGTTTAGGGCAGTAGTTCCATCTGCCTGTTGAATTAGAAGAGAGCTTTTGTCCCTAAAGTGAACACATATTTTATTCTAAACTATGATGCTGCAGCAAGTCTATGAGAGGGCCTCAGTATGTTCCTTTTAATAACAAATGCACCTCAAGAATTCCAGAGCTCGAAGAATCCTATCTGCTTAGGCATTTGTCATTTTTCTCCTTTTCTGAGTAACAGTGACAATGCTCAATCCTGAATAGATGTCTTTAGCAAAAGGAATGAGGGCTGGCATTCACTTAGGTAAGGTGAAAACACAAAGGTATTATTCTCTTATTTTTCTGTCAATGCCACTTAGCTAGCTACAACCCCTGGGAATCCTGAGGAGATGGGTTTTTGTTTGTTTGGTTTCGTTTTGGAAGTACAATCCACTTTATTTCATATCTTTTCCTGTCCCTGAAGGACAGTGATTATTACCCATGATAACTAAATACATCTGCTGGAAACTGGAAGATGATTCCTTTCATGCTTTATTTTGAGATAACACTGATCACTGATGCTATTTGGGTCCCTGAATTAGGAGAAAGGGAGAATATAAATGAATTTTTGAAAAAAACAAAACACTAGAGTAATGAAGTGATGGAACAGATGAACGTTCGGTACAATCCAACAAAGAAATTCCTTGGATCTCACACCTTTAGATATTGCACCTGAAGAGTTCAGAATGAGCCACTGAAGCTAGCTTCAAAAAGCCAGCAGACATATCAAAGAAGTTAAAACTTAATTCTCAGAGCAAAGCCTTGTTGAAATAGTTATTACAACACAATTCATAAAAACCATGTTACACTAAAACTGCAAACACATTTATTTGCATGCATTCTACCACTGACCTATGTCTTGGAAACATCACGTTACCCTGGCATCCCTATGAATAAAATGCAGATCCAGAGAGGGAGAAAACGGGGGAGGGGGGGAGACATGGTTGTGAATCTGAAGCCAAAGGAATCTGGTTACTAGAGAAGCACAGATGGAATTTCATTAGACAGAGATTAGTTAATATTTGTCATACATTACCAAGGGCTTTAGCAGAACTAACGTGCATTTGAAGAAGTGCCAAGAATGCCAGGAAGTTCAGGAGTACAGTGCGATGCAAAAGACAATTAAGCAGAAGACCAAGTATTTTCACTCCTGAGTTTTCTGCAAACAAGGGGAAAGCGGAAGGTGGAGCTAAATGACTGGTCATTTTTCTGGGGAAGTACCTGGTCGCAAAATCCAAGTCCCTGACAAGTGCTAGGGTCCTTTAGCTGATCCTGCTGGGGACTTCTATGTCTTCTCAAACAACAAGAGATTCAGAATCATGTAGCTCAGAGTTGTTACCTTTAAACTAAGAATGTAAATTTATGTGCTCCAGCTGGTAAATTTACTATACATCTGTGGAAGCTGGAAGTTTGTATTAGAACGGCCAAGTTATTGGACAGCAATATTCAAGAGACTGCTCAGCCACAAAGCCTGCAAGTTATGCCTCTGCCTGGGCTACCTTGCATGACTACTGGGATATGAATGAAGAAGCCTACAGACCTGAAATCCATGAATAAGGGTAGAAAATGAGGCATCAATCAGACACAAGTCTACAGACTATCATGCTTACATAGTAGTGATGTTTTTACAGGAATTATGTAAGGAAATCCTGGGGAGAACTATCGTGAGGAACAAACTTCACGGAAATGCAAGTGTCCCAGGCAGCTCACAAGACTGCAACTAGAGACAGACTTTCAGTTTAACCATTAATACATTGTTCTTTAATACATCACCCTCTCTTCATCTGCAAAAATGGAAACAGCTTGTCCCCATGACGTGGGGGGGAGGGAACAAGTTAACATTTAGAAGAGTTCGACATACCATAAAAATGGAACGTACTAACCTATGCATTACTTTGTCATATAGGAAGATGTCTTATTCCAGACCGGAATATTTGTCTGTCTTTTACAATATTGACTAGTTTGACAGATAGCACCTCTCTATTGTCTCAGACTGTCACCGGCCACTGGATCCTTTTTTACACGGAGATGCTGGATACTGACCCTGGAAACTTGTAGACGCAAAGTATATACATTTCCACTATGGTATCTTCATCACACACTGCCTAAACCTTGTCAAACTCCTGAGTATTAGCCTTTTACCGCCTTTCATCAAGGTTAATTTACAAGTGGAATCACTTCTTCTGGTCCACACATACCCTCAATAAGCCTATTTAACATCTAACACACACACACACACAAAAAGTTCTAGGAAGGAGTAGGGGAGAGAAGAAATCACACAACATGAGTGGAGATACTGGAATTCACTGTATTCACATTCCACATTCATTGACACATGTAAACAACAAAAGGAAAAGGGAAGAAGAAAAATTGGGCTTTTTGATGAATGTTGGTTCTTCTTCCATTCACCTTGGACAGTGTCTCTCAAACTTTGGGGGGGCAAAATTAATGGAGGAATTCTTCCCAATTAAAAATAATAATAAAGGAAGGATGAGGGGCAGAGGGGAAAGGCTTTGCTTTTCTGTAGGAAAGCATGGCCCCACGTATAAGTGAATGAACAATAAGGTCTCCATCCTAGCCATTCTGCAGGGCTCTCTGTTTTCCCTCAGCCCTAATACATTAGCAAGGCTTTTCCCCACCACCACAACAGGTCATTGAAAGCTACAAACCTAACCAATGCAAGTAAATAACTAGGTAAATTCCAGAAAGAAAATCCACTCATTAAAAAAAAGAACTAAAGAATTAAAAAATAGAACTATTGAAATTAATTTTCCCCTCCGCCCTTCAGTCTCTCCACCTGTGATCAAAGCAGTGTATATACACAAAGGCAGCCCAAAAGGAGTGTTGTTAGATATGTGCAACATCTCACTGTGCCCCCAATTAGATTCAAATTAAATGTTAGGAACAGGAGAGCAATTCAGTAAAATGCACACTGGCTGGAGTAAATACTGGCTTGTTGCAAAACATGATCCATTATGGGTTTTGTTGTTACATGATATACGCACAACTTAAATCCTAGCATGCATTTTTAAATCCAGATACCAAGCAGGAAAGGACATTATATATTTTATAAAATACATAGTCATATAATGTCCATAAATTAAAAAAAAAACAACTGTTCACAAGTCAAGAAAACTACAACCAACAGCAGGCCAAAAATAAACCAAGCTCAACCACATGCATCAATGAATAAACAAATCATTTGGTTTTCTTATAGGCAATTTCTGTAAGAGTTGTACTGTATTATTCAGGAGCTTAACCTTTGTGCTTCTCCTACTCACTCACTCTTCTCAAATACCTTCCAAACTTTAAGGGGGAAAAACCATGCGCATGAAGATAGGTACAATACAGGTCAAAATCATTTTTTACACTCCTGTATTGATTTCTTCAACTGATATATACTGTACATCTGTTTTTAAAGCAGATGGTCTCTCATTCATGTTAAATATACTTCACACTTTTGCAATCAGAAGCCTCTTTACTAACTCATTCATAAAATGGGACAAAGGTTAAACCCCTCCTTTACTACAGTTCTTATCTGCTTTCTTTCATAAAACACATGCAGCTATTTACTACTAGGAAGGTTGTGACAGAAAAAAAATAGAGAAAAAAGGAGAGAAACCCCCTAAGTCAGAGATATTTCGATACTGTACCCTAAGACAGAAAACTGTTTTTACCCACTCCTTGAGCCCCAAATACACCGCAAATATGACCTTTTCTCAATTATGTGCCCAAGAGAATCTAGTCCTTTTATCTTTTCTGAAACTCAGACATCACACAAACCTAGCCAGAGATCAGCAGTTAACAGGAAGGACAGGAAATAAATCTAGCCAAATAGTGATTTAAAACCATTTTTAATTTAATCCACATGGGCACCCCCTATTCATTCAAAAGCACATCCCACTCATTTGGATTCATAAGCAAACACAACATTCTCCAGGGGACAACAAGGGAGCAAGGGGGAGGGGGGGAACGACTAGAAAGCAAATTCAAGAGATTTGCATTGCCCCTTTAATGCGGTGTGCTGGAACAAAAGCCTCAGTTTCCTACCCGTTTTTTTTAAGTCACATGTGCAACCACCACCAAACCAGATGTTTACACAGGCCCTTTGCACACCCAACCCTCCACAAAAAAACCTCCTCCCCTTTATCGCACCAATATTGGGGGGGGGGGGCGAAAGAGGGGAGGAAATTGAACCTTAAACAAAAGCAATCCAGGAGGCAACTCAAAAGTTACTTACCTTCTCCTCACGAATCACACCATCAGTAGGCTTTGTGGAGTCGTGGGGGTGAGGAGATGATTCCCAAGCAAGGTCTAAAAGAAGAAAGGGAGGTGTGGGGAAGAGGAAGGCAGGAAGAAGGCGGGCGTAGCAGATGGGTTGTTGTGGTGGTGTGTATTTACTGAGGACCTGAGGGGTGGAGGGGAAGAGAGGGGATAGGAAGGCAGCTAGGGAAGCTCCCAGCCCCAAACAAAACGCTAAGAGAGGGAAAAGGGAGATGACGGGGTGGGTGGGGGGAGCCCTGTAGAAACGTGGGGATTGTGGTGGTTGGTGGGGGGCCCCTCTGAAGGGAAGCAATGGAGGGGGGGCGCCTGGATTGGACCCTCAGATGCTGAGGGAGGCGAGTGCTCCCGTGTTTTTAATGCTGGGTGGGAGTCCAAGAGAAAAGGGAGCAGGAGGAGACAATGTGCTCAGGGAAATAAAAGAGAGAATGAGAGAGAGAGAAAGTTGGGCAGCCCCAGGAGGGAAACCAAGGGGCCTGACGGAGGGAGGGGGGGAAAAGCAGGGGGAGGTGGGCGAGTGTTGAAAAAAGAGGGGTGGGGGGAGGAACCCTAAAACGCGCCCCCTCCTCTCTTTTCCCTCTGAGCGGAGACACACATGCCCAAAGGGGTGAGGGAGGAAAGAGGGAGACCCATAAGCCACAACGGTCCTCCTCCCTCTCTCTTATTGTATATATTTCTTTTTCGCCTCAATTCTCAAAGCTTTTTGCCCCCTCCTTCTTCTTCTTCTTCTCCTCTTCCTCACACAACCCCACAGAGACACCCAGCAACCACCCTCAGACAGGCCAGCGCCGCCACATGCCAGTATCGCGCTCCCTCATTGGCTCCTTTTAAGACCCGGTTTGTTAGAGATGTGTGAGGAGGAGGAGGAGGGGGAGGAACTACCACTACCACCGCCACCCGCTCCTGACCCCGGCCAGGGAGCCTCCGACCAATCAGCGCCGAGGAGAGAAGCGTGGAGTTGGGTTGGTTTCCTTTTTTTTCCTCTCCTTCCAATTCAGAGAAAGGTGAGGATGGGAGGGGGCTCCCGATTGGGCGAGAGGCGCGCGGCGGCCGTCCTCGCGCCCGCGACGGTTGGCGCGCTTTGCTATAAAAGGGGGAGTGGGGAGAGTCTGTTGAATGACCGCCTCCTTGCTTTTCCCCTTCGGAGGGATGTTTTACCTCAGTTGTTATGTCGTGTGGTTGTTTGGTTTTTGTTTTTTTTTACATCTTCTGTTTTATTTTATTTTATTTTTTCTTTTCAAGGTGTCCTTATTAAACCCACAGACCTGGGAGTATAAAGTCTCAGGCTTATTTCAAAAATGTTGATATTTTTTTAAAAAAACAATTATGTCAGTTAGATCGATAGCGGTATAGATATGTTGATGGATATTTTTAAATCAACCTTTTTATGGTCTTATTTGGATTTCAAAATATTCGTTTAAAAAAAGATAAAAAGACAACTAATTAATATCCTTGGGAAATATCAAAAAAATATTTTGAAAGAAATAGGCACCACACCATTCATAGGAAACACAAGTGTGGCACAGGATGGATCAAATACAGGAGGCAATGCAGCAGAACACTAATCAACCGCATTTTAAAATTTTACCCATTGAATTTGTCATAATCTGTTCAGTGAACAGGCATGGATTTCCTTTGGAAATGGTGCACAGAGCGTCGTCTTGATGGCGCGCGCATAGTTCATGAGCAGGTTGTGTCTATGGCAGGATTCATCTGTACATGAACCAACATGCCTTGCTTTGTGCACATGCTTCACTTTCACTAGAGAACTCCGAGTGGTCACTTCCTGGCCATGTGCAAAATCTCCACTTCATGCTATGATTTTGTGCACATTCCCCAACCCTTTGGATAACTGTGGCGAAAGGCTGCATCTCAAGAGCACAACACGCATGCTTTGCAGGTTCCATTCTTGCAAGCTCTAGGGTCGACGGACGAATCTCTCTGAAACCATAATGCAGGAATTCGTAAACTTGGGCACCCATACATTGTTGGACTACCAACTCCCAGAATTCCGGACCATTGGTTTGCAGGCTAGGATTTTGGGAAGTTATATTCCAATTTAATCAGGGGAATCCAGGAAATTGCAGTCTAAAAAATTTGGAAGGGTGCAATTGGGCAGAGGAATAAATGGAAGAATGAGAGGTCGGTGTAGACAAACATTAAGTGGCTTGCCTGTGTAAAGCAGCTTTCTTGGCATACATTCTTTTCTAAACTCATTTTAACCACCATGTGAATGCAGACAGATGTATATCATGGTTAATATGCATCCGGAATATATACAGTATATGGATTATAATGCAAAAGCCCTGAATTCGAATCACAGATTGGCCATGGAAACTCAATGGAACTAGTAAAACCACTCCTTTAGTATCCCATTTACCTTGAAATCTATTAGGGTTCCTAAAATACACAGGCATATAGTACAGCATATAATGTACATGGTTGTATGTATATATGCACACAAATATATATATACACACATTTTGTACATGCGTATATTGGGGAAGACAATAGTTAGAATAGCAGCTAGCACAGCAAACTCTTATCCCCCCACTCAAAGACCAAGAGGGAGGACTCAAGAAGAGCCATTTCATCCCATTCTATTAAAGAGAGAGAGCATCAAAAATTTATTCTGCAATCAGGAAATTGCAACTTGGTCTCTGATTGTGATGGATGAGTCACAGCCTTTCCTCGGTGCACTGTAAAAGTAGAATAGAAGGCTAATTAAGCAGGCAAATGTCAATATGGTGATTAGCTCACCGTATAATATCTGATTGGCTTTTCCCGATGACCTTCCTCCGCCTTCCGCTCATACACTTTCCTTTAGCAATGTCTTTTTAGTGAGAGAAGCCAACCAACATGTTTGTATATAACAAGGACGGGCAGGGAGAGCAGCTTAATTCAGATTCCTGTAATATCCCTGTTTAGGTATCACAGCACAGATGCAAGTTGGCCCACCTTGATCTACATCTCCGAGTGTGAATTTGTGGCAGAAGTGGAGTTCTTGCAGATTCATTTTCCTGCCTGTCATGTACAGCTTGAGACCAGCGGAAAGTGGAAACAATAGGAAATACCTCCATAATTCCATTTCTGCTATTGGCTTGGAATCCTTAAAAGAGCGTCACTAGATCCCAATCCATCTCTGTGCAGGCACCTCAATGCTAGTGTTCGTGGTGAGCATCACCTCATGGGGAGCGTACCATTTTATGGGACAGTGACAGGATTCCCATTTCTAGCTGCTTCTGCAGGGGCAAAAGGCAACGAATGGGTCTTCTCAGCAGAAGAGTGAAATGGTAAGAGGTTTTTGTGGGTTTTTTGCCATTATGAAACCTCTTCTTGTTTTAAGGTAGCCTACAGATCATTTCTAAAAGTATGCCAAAGGCAGGGCTCTCATCGTCATCTTAGAATTGCAGAGTGGGAAGAGATCTTATGGATCATCAAGTCCTCTCCCTGTCATTCCAGAACAGCAGCAGCAGGATTATGCCCCTTGCATTATCTCAGTGCCCCAGTTAAATGTGTAGCCTGCATAATTAACTTGTAAACCACCCAGAGAGTGCTTGAAGCACTATGGGGCGGTATATAAGCAGCACCCTTTGCTTTTAAAGGAACCAAAGGGGTGGGGGAAATCAGCTAGTCAAGGACATCAAATTAATTATCAAGGTCCAAATAAGCTCGTAAATTTTCAGTGTGCAAAGCAACACTGGTATTTCCAACTTGGGTTACTGAGCGAACTTTGCCACTGAATGTTCGTCTAGGATGAATATTGCTGTACCGCACAGAATCCACAAGAGGGCAATGAGAAGATTCCCCTTTTCAAAACCACCATTGCATTTTCAACAGCTATCCCCTCAAGCATGCCTCTTTAGATACCAGGCAGCCAGCGGGTTTGCCCCGGCTTCTTCCTCCCCTGTAAAGGTATTAAAGGGGGTTGGGAAAGTGCAGCCTCTTGAGATCCCCTCTCCACTTTGAAAGAAAAAGCAGTACTGCCAAAAGAAAAAAAGCACTTTCCTGCAAACCTCCTGGAGGGAAGAATTTACAATGAAATAGTGTTCCAGGGACCTTCAACCATCCCCTAAAATCCTGATGATCCAAAAAATAAAAAAATCTGATGCTCCCTTTCAGCAACATTTTTAAAGTATCTTTGCTTATTTTCAGAGCTGGTTTTAGAACAGGTAGCCATGCAAGCCTATGCTAGCTTATCAGAAAAAAACTAAAGAAAAATTTAGAATACTTGTCCACAAAGGTTTGCATTAAAATAGCAGCTGCCTCAATGTTTTCATTTTTCTTTTGATTTTGCCTGGCATTTCAGAGTTGCTGTGGCCCTAGGGTATAAAACTGACCCCTGGACTCCCCAAGAAGGTAAAGTTAGGGAATGTGAAACCTAATGTTGGTTTCATCCAATTTCTGGGTGAACAATTTTACTCATAATGTGTTTATTTTTTAAAAAACAGGAATGACAATAAATCAAGGTAAGTTAACCTTCCTCTTGGATGTATACTAGCCATTGGGGGGTGGGGGGGGATGAGGGATAAAAAAAATTAGTGAAGTCCACCAAGCTATAGAAAAGTGCTTGTGTAGCCATTTGTGTTGGACTTGGAAAAAAAATTAGTGAGGTCCACCAAGCTGTAGAAAAGTGCTTGCGTAGCCATTTGTGTTGGACTTGAGAGACCCAAGTTCTTGTCACCTTTTTAAAGTCATCAAACAGTGGAGGAATTTGAGGTTTACTTGGACTTCTCTGCCTCCCAGAACAACTGTAAAGATAATGCAGGGAAGAAAATCACAATTCTTGCCCTGAGCTCCCTTAAGGCGAAAGCCTTTTTTTAAGGTAGTTGAAATATCAAACCTAGTATTAGTGCTATGTGGCTGAGCTCCCTTAAGGCGAAAGCCTTTTTTTTAAGGTACAGTAGTTGAAATATCAAACCTAGTATTAGGGCTATGTAGCACAAGCATTAGACAAGAAGGCAGAAATGCAAAAAAAAACAAAATTAAACCGCAGCCCAACTTTTGACTTTCGATTTCCCACCACCACCCTTTCTGTAGGGAGTGTGGCTTTGGCAGTTTTGGCCCAAGAAATAAGACTTCTGGACTGAGACAGCCAATTCGTTCCACTTTGTTCTAGCCAGATGTTTTCAGTGGTGCGATTACGGTGGAGGAACGAGCTGAAGCAGAGAGAGGCACCTGTGCAGGCAAATTTAGGTATTACAGAAGGGGCAGAAAAAATTAGTTAATGAACATTAAGTTTTTCCTGCCCGGGGCATGGGTGGAGGGATCTCCTCCCTCGGGTTGTTGACTTGGTGGGCCTCAGCAATGGGAGACCATGGCTCACCCTTCCTCCTGCCAGCGCTGACCCCACCACGATTTTTTGGCCACGCTTGCTGTTACCTAAATGGCAGGTGGCATCTTAACCGAAGTCTCCACCCACACAAGGCGACAACATGTTCCATTAACAACGCCAGACTGCAGAAACATTTCTTTTACTTTATTTACCTCACGTAAGAACTACTATTGTGTTTGCAGGTACCTCGGGCTGCACTGTGAGTCATACAACTTCCACACACGATGTAGAGAAAAGGATTTTCTTGAGAGTTGGTGCTTAAAGCAGAACAAAATGGGAGAAATGATGCAATTTCCGAGCAAGACAACAACAGTAGCCGCTTTTCAGCTTAATACCAGCTTTAGCACTTTACAGCTATTAAGCCTCCACACCTTTGGGATATCGGAGAGCTTTCCAACTTTTACACCAGCAGCATGGTGACTCTCTCTCTTTCTCCTTTCTTGCTTTTTACTCAAGACAACTCAAACCAGTTAAGGCCAAAATGGTGCAAAGGGAAAAGGGGAGGGCAGTGTATGTCCGCAAGACACAGAGCTAAGCGCTTTTGAAAGCAGCAGGCCATCACTAGGGTTGTGTAATAAAGAGAGAGAAGATGATTAAGAAGACACACGGACGAGTTGTGGTTGTCTACAAGGGTGAGGACCTGCCAAACACGTGTTTCCCATCAGCTGCCTCTCTGCGGTACGCAGGTTACTAGGGGCTTTTTTTCTCATTTCTTCTAAATAGGTTGACTAGCGCTGTCGGCCACAATCGGGGCGAGTGGCCAAGGGACCCCCCCCCGGGAGCCGAAGCGGTTTAGTTGACTTTAGGGTTCCTGAAGTTCTTGCCAGCAAAACGGGCCTTGCTCCCCAGTTCTTCTTCAATCCTAAGTAACGGAGTGGGAGAAAAAGAAAGAATACACATTTTTGAGGAAAAGGCAGTTGTCCGCAGGAGAGTTGTGATCTGTCTGCTTTCAAAAGCTCGTCACCCCCTTAAATACTTCATTGGTTCCAATGCCTTTAACCGTATTCTTACCTCAGAAGCTGGTTGTACTTGGCTAAGCGCTCAGAACGGCAAGGAGCGCCAGTCTTGATCTGGAAGGAGCAACACATTGAGAAGCATTTTAAAAACATGACATTTATACAGTACCCTGCTTTTCTAGTACAGCAGCACCTCAAGGCAGCTTGTAAAGTTTTTTTAATCGAACATAAGCAAATAAAACCAATGTTTAGTTAAAATCTCAATCATATAAACCTGTCCCACCATGTATCAATAATACATGGTGGGACAGGTAACCATTAAGCAAAGTACATTAAAAAATATTTACATTGCAAAGGGAGATTAAAAACAGCACAAACATCAAATGCCAGTCTAAAAAAACTGTTTTTACTCCCTTCTTAAAATCAATCAGAAGCAGATTGCAACATACAAGGCCCCTCCTGAAATTTGGTATTTTAAAGATCTTAAAGGTCTAGGCAGACTCAGAATGAGATCGTTGGTCCCTCCAATAGCCAGACCTCGTTATTGAGGGCTTTAAAGGTTGAAACCATTACAAAGGAGAAAAGTGGCTCAGAGGTGACAGATAACAGTGTGGTTTCAAGCTTAGTGTGTTTTGCAATAATTCAATCTCCTTCTGCTTCCTCTGGTGGGCTCTTAAGTGATCGGGGACACTCTGTCCGAAATCCTCCAGCTAGGCTGAGAAAATCAGAAGAGAGCATCCTCTTCTGGGTGGCCCTCACCCAGCAAAATGTCTTACCCAGGCTTAGAAAACTATGTTGCTTCCCTGTGAGACCCTGTGAGGGGGCGGAATAGCCTAAAAAAAAGCCTTCCCAGAATTCCCCAGCCCTAAGGATGATGGATCTACGTCCGGAAGGTATCCTCCTCCACCATCATGTGTATTATTCTCTGGAACAAGCCTCTCCAAGTTAAAGAAATAACAGTATATGCTCTATCTTAAAGGTCCAACTTTTACTCATTGTAGAGTCCTTCACTTGTTCAGTCACACAGGTCATTTTTCAACATACGTATTTTTCATTCCAAGCCGCAGCACCCTCCTTGATGGGGTGCCACCTACCTGCCCAGTGCACAGCCCCACCACCAGGTCTGCGATGAAAGTATCTTCGGTCTCTCCCGAACGATGGCTCACCATCACGCCCCAGCCGTTGGACTGGGCCAGCTTGCAGCTGAAGGAGAAAGAGACATGGCCATGTGAGAGTCCCAGCTGACACACCACTAGGGCATTCGGCAACAGGACCGCCTCCCACCCTTGCCCCATATTTTAAGACTGACTTTTACACACACTTGGGGCTACGCTGCCGCCTACTACCTAAATTTCTCTGTGAAGGAGGATTTCAAAAAATCATACAAGGCAGTGGCCAAGATGCCCTGTGGGATCCTCAGGTGGTTTTTGTGGGCCTCAGTCTGTTCTAGCTGTTTTATCATGAAAAAAGGGGGGAACCTGTATTTCTGAGAGGTCTCCAGGAATGACAGACCCTCTTTTAAATAGGTTACAACGCCTTCCCCCCCCCCCATGTTTCTCACACACATAAACCACCAATTTTTCAAAACTGGAAGTAAATTTCTAGACACCTCCTGTTTTGCTTTCCACATTGGGAAGGATTTTTGATTGTCTGCAGAAAGTCTCAGGTGTGGAAAACGTGGCCCTGGCAAAAAGCGACGAGGGATCATGCAAGCAGTCTCGGGAGATTTCATGCCCTGGAATCTTACATGGGTGCCAGCGCCTGCTTCAACCTCTCCCCACCCCCACCCCCACCCTGTCAAAACAGAAGACCGACTTACGCCTGGAGGGACTCCGTGACGGAGCCAATCTGGTTCACTTTGAGCAGCAAACAGTTGCAGGCTTTCTCTTCCACGGCCTTCGCAATGCGCTTCGGGTTGGTCACCGTTAGGTCATCACCTACCACCTGGATGCCCACGCTGGCCGTGAACTTCTTCCAAGCCGCCCAGTCGTCTTGGTCAAAGGGGTCTTCGATGGAAACCACTGAGACAGGGAGGAGGAGGAGAAGAAAAAAGACCCCCCATGTCATTGCTAGGTGTCAGGATGAGGCCTTGGCTTCCTTTGTCCCTATGACCCTAGCACAGGGTCTTCCCAGGGACCCTTCCAAGATGGTAGAACCACCTCTCAAGAAAGGATTGGCTACCCACCCGCCCCCAATTATCCTCCTTCAACCCAATAACAGAAGCACAAAGTACTTTTTTAATGGTTTTCAAACAGCTTGTAATGCAAACATTACTTCGTTTTGTGAACTGTTTAACTGCACTCTAATACCTCTGTGCTTTTATATGCACCTCGCTTATAATTTCATGGGCCAACCTGTCCTTGGCTCGCAATTAAAACAATTATCTGTGTGTTCCAGCCCTGGGGCGGGGGCTTGGAAATGATCCCTGTGGACACAAGGGGGGGTTCCCCACTGTAAAACTCCCAGAGTCCCAAGCTTTTTTGAGTTCAAGTTCCAAATCCCAGCTTTAACACAGCACTGGTGTCATGCCAGCACTCTTGGGAAACTATGTCCTCTTCAGGACATAAGATGGCCATTATATCCTACACACCACAGAATTAAAGAACAACAATGAATGAGGAATAAAGAAAGCCGTATCGCTCACATAGAGGTTTTTGACTGGTCTTTTAGGAGTCCCCTGAAAAGGAAGCAGCCCCCACTCTCATACAGACACTAAGACAGCACTCATACCTGGGTAGTTTGCAACGAAGCCCTTGTAGAGGTCAGCCAGCTGGTCATGGGTGATGTACCTGCTTGGGTCATCGGGTGACTTGAAGTCCAGGTCATACTTGCCATCGCGGTAGAATTCGGAAGCCGCCACATCCATTCCAATCACAACCTTGTCAGTATAGCCTGCCTTACCGATAGCTGTCTTCAGCAACTCCAGAGCTAGGAGGAGCCATAAAACAGGTTATAAGCAATAAGCTAAATCTGAAAAGCCTGTTGTATAAGGATGGGCCATTCAGCTTTTACAGGCTCCCAAATCCCAGAATTCTCCAGGTTGAGCACAATTTAGATGTGGCTCTGGCAGGTGGAAGTCCCAGGATGGGAGAATTCTGGGAGTTCACACCCAAACCAAAATAGAAAGAGACAGGTCTAGTTAGTAACCATCACATCTCATTAAAGTCAATTCTAACTCAGGGTGACCCTTTTCAGGGTTTTCCAGGTACAAAAAGAGGTAGGTTTCCACTTCCCTTCTTCTGGGGAGGCATCTCTGGGACTGTGCAACTTGCCCAAGGCTACCCAGGCTTCTTCCAGGAGGCCCAGTTGAGGAATCAAACTACCAACCTCTGGCTCCACACTCAGATACGTAAAGTACTGAGCTACCCAGCCAGCTACAAGTCTAGTTAGGTCACCAAAAAGAAAAAAAAGGAAAACCTTCCATAGTTTTCCTCCCAATTCTGGACCACATTCTCAGCAAAGCAGAAAAACCTCCCAGACCACAGAGGCACAACAGGCCACAGCCTGTCATACAGCTGTATTCTTTCCTTGGAAGCCACCCAGAGTAGCGGCTTGTCAGATGCATGGGGTAGAAGTTTAAATAGACAAACACCCAAAATTATTGTAAGCCGCCCAGAGAACCTCTGGGTAGTGTGGGCAGCATATAAATTGAATAAATAAATAAATAAAATAAAGCAAGTCCTCTCCTCTCCTCTTCACACTTTTTTACCTTCCTTGTTTTCCAAGATGTTGGGTGCAAAGCCGCCCTCGTCACCCACGTTGGTGGCATCCTTCCCGTACTTCTCCTTGATGACATTCTTGAGGTTGTGATACACTTCCGCCCCGATCCGCATGGCTTCCCTGAAGCTCTCAGCACCAATGGGGAGGATCATGAATTCCTGCATGGCGAGCTTATTCCCGGCATGGGACCCACCGTTGATCACGTTGAATGCCTTGAAGGTAACCAGATCAAAAGCAAGGAGATAAAACCAAACCGTTAATGATTTCACTTCAACTTATTTCTACTTGCTGTGCATAACTCCCATAAATGGGACCTCTCAGAAGGCAGCTTATGTATCACATTTAGAAGAGAATTCCTGCCTTTGGGCTTTCGATAGAAGACGCAGCATCAAAGGAAAGGGGGGTGAGGAGGGGAAAAGCCACAAGAATAATACAGCAGGACTCCTGCATCTGTGGGAGATCAGTACAAAACCCCCCTGCAGATTCTGAAAAACATGGATTATAGTGAATGCTGTAATAAGGAAAGCTACACACAACAGGGTCTTTGGCCCTCCCTAGTGGCCAGTTCTGGTAACTTCATAGTTAGAAATATATGTGCATTTATGGGGTTTTTCATTTAATATTTCAGATGGTGGATAAGTGAATCAGCGGATACTGAACTGTGGATAAGGTATCTGTAGGAAAACACAGCATTCCAAAGCCATTTACATTTCAAGGCCTTAAAGCGTAGGAACACAGATACCCCTCTCCATGACTTATTTGAAATGTTTTGCTTTATAGCTTAACTTTCTCCCAGACAGATAATTCAAAGCAACTAGGAGAAATTCTTTTTCTACATCAAGTAGACATCTTCCAGAATGGGGATTCTTCTTCACTCATACACACACAGGAGAAGAGAATCTTCATCTCATGTATAACAGGATAGTCCAAGAAAAACTTACAGGGACAGGCAGAATGACATCCTTGTTCCCAGCCAGGTCTGCAATGTGACGGTACAGGGGGACCCCCTTCTCAGCCGCGCCGGCCTTGCAGACGGCTAAGGAGACTCCCAGAATAGCATTAGCACCAAACTTGGCTGTAATATAAAAAAGCGGGGGGGAGGGAGAGCAATGTTATTTGCTTGCAAATACATCTCCTTTCTTATCGTATTCTCATTTGGAAGGAGCTTCTCAGGGAATGTGCCGTCCTGCCTCCACCCCTGGGTTTTACATCCGCTAACAGAAATTTGCTCCCAAGCCAACTAGTAACGGGGGGCGAAGGTTGGTACACAACCCCAGAGCTGTTTCCAACCCCCAAGATACGTTTGCTGTAGAATCGACTTACATTTGTTCTCCGATCCATCCATCTCCAGCATCAGCTTGTCGATCTTCTCTTGTTCCACCACACTGACGTTCTGCAGGGAGGAAAAGGAAGCAGCCCGCAAAAACCATTAAGGCACCAGCGTGATCCCGAGGCCAAGGGGTGGGGTGGGGGAACTTGCAGGACCAGTCCTACCATCGGCCAGAAGCAGGCAATGACCTTTAGTAGCCAATGTCAACAGTGTGTGTATGGTGAAGGTATAGGAGTTTATGAATGAGAAATTTACTTATTGTCATGCAACAGATATTGTTCTGTTGTGCTACTTGAATGGACTGATAAAATAAAACGAATAGAACATTGTTTAAAATTATATTATATACTGAATGGGCAATGTGTTACAGTTGCCCAGTGCCACCAAAGTGGCCTGTATTTCATTTTACCTTATCACAGACGGGCTTTGTTACACCACCTACTAATTTTTACAGATTATAGAGTTATAAAGATTAGATAAAACTGAATTAAGGTACAAAAGACAACAATGAGTTCCTCCAGTCACCGGTGTCACATCTGTGTGTTATTTCTACCAGGCACCCACCACACTCCAATGTCCATTCCTAAGATTATTTGCACAATGAGCAACATGCATTTATATTATTCATGCATCTGTCCACAAACAAATAATTTGCCAATGGGAAGGTGCTTAGAATGACTTTTTTTTCTTTTTAAACACATATGCAAAAAAAAAAAAAACACCCCTTCCATTTAAAATGAAGTCTACAGACAGCTCAGCTTGCACTAGAGGGTTAGTGAAATAAGGAATGCTTCCTACCTTGTTAACCAGTGCAGGTGCAATTGTTTTATTGACGTGCTCAACAGCTTTTGAGACACCTGGAAGGAACAAGCGAATCCATCACTACTCCAACTCACGGAACACCAAAGCAGGCATTAGTAGAGGATCAACTTGAGTCGCAAGTTACAACCCCAACCGCCTGACCCTCAAGGCGAGACACTCAAGAGTGCAAAGCACTTATAAATTATTTTTTTCTTAAATTATCAAAGGCCCAGTTTAAGTTCACGGGACGTAGCCATCGTCTAGGAATGCCTGCCAACAAGGTTAGTTCTGAAGGACCATGCGTGGAAGAGGAGATGCCCTGAGCCTGGAGGCTGCACTGCAAACCCGCACCGGTTACCTGAGTACACAACGCTGGAGCCAGGAATTCGTTAACGTATTTAACGGCTCGGGAAACACCTGCTCGGAACCAAGTCGGCCAGGAGAGGGAGAGAGAGAGAGAAAGGGAGAAAAATGAACCCCCACAAGAGAACACAGAAACTGTCCATGCAAAGGGAAGAGAGGGACACACATGGGGGACACAGAGCAAAGAGAAATGAAAAGACCCTTCCGGCATGGAGCACCACCGTCAGACTCAGGCGGGGAAAGCAGGAAAAGCTTAAGGGGAAATACAAACTGATCGTGGTCCTGTCGAAAGAGTTTGGGCACGTCTGGTGCATGACAGAATTTGGGTACCTCCTCTCGTTTCTGAATACAAACAGTCCGAGGAGCAAGCTTGCAATCCCTTATTCATGCACAGCATTATCCCCCTTTTTTGAAGTGAACCACCGAGATGTTTTGTAAAGCTTTGATGAGGCTCACAGCTGTAGACCCAGATGTTTCATGCAAGCAGCCAAAGCTTAACTAATTGAATGCGGGGTGCCAGGAAACATCCGTTTGACAATAGTAAACCGGTTTTAAAATGAAAAAAAAACTAGGGATATATATATATATATATGTTGGCTGTTAACACTGCCAGGAAACATCCGTTTGACAATAGTAAACCCGTTTTAAAATGAAAAAAACTAGGGATATATATATATGGGTTGGCTGTTAACACTGTGCAAATTCAATCCAGAGAACCTGCAAAGATCTTACAGAAAACCACTCTAAAAAGCAACCAGCTGTCAAACTAATGGTTCGAATATACGGCTCCACCACCACCTTAAATTGGGATTAAATTCAGAATCTGCATACAGAAACCAGAGTTCCCCCAGCCACAGAGAGGCAACACCAAGTCTAAGCAGTTTTTGGTTCCTAATGTCACTGTATTCTAAAGCAGATTATAGTCACAGCCTTCAAATCTATGTTAGTTTTCTTCCCCTCTCTCTGCCTATTTCAGATTATGGATTCATTTGGGTCAGGGATCCTCGTCTGTTTTGCCAAAGGGCTCCCCATAAAAACCTGATAAGGGTCTTGGAATGATGTAAGCCACCTTGGCTCCTCCTTAAGGAGAAAGATGGGACAGAAACGTTTTAAATGAATTAATGCGTAATTCTGAGAAAAATGCAGGGTGGTCTTCATTCCACAAGTACATCAAGCCCTTAAGAGGCAGGCACTTCTAATATTTTTACAAACGTATTGAAGTGAGACGAGAGAAAGCCAACAGCATGCAGCGGCCACACTCAAGACATTATAAGGAGGCTATATGAACTTAGAATTCAATACCAAATGCTGCATAATTGCTTTACCCAACAGATACCTGGTATGCCTCTCCCAAGAAAGAATTGAGCTGGGGATTATTTGGGATGACAAAGGCGCCTTGCAGTAAGTCTTTACCCAGGACGACTAAATTCGCCACTGGCTTTATTCAGACGGAGGTCCGCTCTCTTTGCAAGGCTGAACAAAGAGCCCTTTCATCACAATCCTTTTGCAAAGGGGGCTCGGCCACCCTCAGGAGGGACCGACGGGAGAAGCCTTTACAGAACGAAGCGCAGCCAGGCCAAGGTAGAGGAGACCAGTGACGTTCTTGCAGGAGGCTTTACCTTTTCCCAAGAAGCGAGTCTTGTCATTGTCCCGAAGTTCCAGGGCTTCGTAGATTCCAGTCGAAGCCCCGCTTGGAACAGCAGCCCTGAAAAGACCTGAACGGAAGAGAAGAAAGATGTTAACTGGGGGGAGGGGGAAACCCCGGAATAGCAGGTTATTTTAAAAATATAAACACGGTCTATCTCCCCAGAGCTTGAAGTGTAGACACAGGTCTCCTCTCGTCTTTACAAGCACCCTGGGAGACAGCTCATGCTCTGAGAGAAAGTGACCCTCTCAAGCTCACCCCGGGGAGTTTCCTTGGGACCAGAAAGGGGCTCTTCCCCCCCCCCCAGTCCTGGCTCACAAGCAGGGTGGCCTTCCAGCCGAGAAAAACATGGGCAGATGTTGTTTTTCTACCCCCAGAATAGAGAGCACGCCTGGAGAAGCCTCGGCGTTCCAACTTCCCCCAAGTTCTGGCCAGCCTGGCCCAAGGTGCCCCAGTGATGGGACTCCGATCCCAAAGCCCCTGCCACGGCAAAGTTTCCCACCACCACCACCATCTTCATGTAGGGCAGCCAGCCTGGCCCAAGGTGCCCCAGTGATGGGACTCCGATCCCAAAGCCCCTGCTACGCCAAAGTTCCCACCACCACCACCACCACCTTCATGTAGGGCAGTGGCTCCTAACCTTGGGTTCCCAGATGTTCCTGAACTACAACTCCCAGAAATCCTGGCCAGCCCAGCTCGTGGTCAAGGCTTCTGGGAGTTTCAAGCCCAAGAATATCTGGGGACCCAAGGTTGGGAACGACTGATGTCGCCGGATGCTGCCTTGTCTTGGAAGAGCAGGACAAGCCCAGAGGATTTACCTTAAAAGCTATTCCAGACAAGCTTTCCCCACCATGAGTTACCCAAAGGACCACTCCGTTTCCAGGCACTGAAGGACTACAACTCCCAGAGATCTTTGCAGGGCAAATGTAAGCCACTGGTAAGATCACCCCCGACTGAAGGACTACAACTCCCAGAGATCTTTTGCAGGGCAAATGCAAGCCACTGGTAAGGCTCTAGAGCCCAAGGAAGGGCTGAAAAGCAGATCACCCCCGTTTCACCTATAATTTCAAATGCTGCCCATGAACATAGGAAGAGAACGAGGAAGGGGTGAGGGCAATTCTGAATGCGATGAATCAAAATCCCAGGGCTCGCAAGGGAGACACCACACGCTGGCCGATGGACCTGGCACAAGATGAACAGGCTAGGCTTCTCCTTCAAAAGTTGTATCCCAAGAGGGAAATGTAAGTCTTTAAGGGGCCACAGAACCCCACGGCTTTTCCGAACATGGGTAGGTTTACTGTTCTTCTCGAGGATTCTTGCTTAAGAGACAGCTCTGGGATAGAAGTCCTGATGTGCCAGATCCCCATTTTTTCCAGTTCATGAGCCAGAACCAGGCAGTGGCGAGAGACCAATTTTTCCCCTCTGCCTATTTTCTGTGGAAGACTCATTAGGAAGACCCCGGACCCGTTTGGTCCAGAGTTATCTGATGTAAAAGTTAATAAAACCAATCCGTTTTTGACCGTTACATCGACTCCTGCCATTATTCCCGCCGAATCCCTTGGTCCGCCCTCTTCAGGAAAAGAACCCAATCACACCATTTTTTTCCAGTTCATGAGCCAGAACCAGGCAGTGGCGAGAGACCAATTTTTCCCCTCTGCCTATTTTCTGTGGAAGACTCATTAGGAAGACCCTAACTATTTTTAATAAGACAAAGGCTGGCCCTCCTATAAGCCTGCCGCCAGCTATTATATGTGCTCATCTCCCTGGCCCGAGCCAGTTCCTGCTTTACACAAAAGAAGCGGCTGGTTCTCTATGGCACGGAGCTGCGAGTAACAAAGGAGGGTGGCGAAGGGAGCGTGGGTCAATGTACGAGGAGGCCTTGCCGTGAAAGAAGCTGGGAGGCGCGCTTGCTTTTTTAAAAAAGGGGGCAACCCCAATTATAGCAGAATTGCTAGCAAGAAAAGGCTATGGAGCCAAATTGCATAATCATCGTACCCAAAAGCGGACAAATGCTATCATTAGGACATGCAGGAAGCGGGTTTAGAAAGATGTCCCAATGCTTCCTGTTAAACCAGAGATGGCAGCCACCAGAATTAGTAGAAGCACCAAGGATGCTTCGGAACGGTGGTGTGTGTGTGTGTGTTATTCTATATAAGAGGGCAAACCAGGGACACGGAAGGGAATTTAAATTGGGCAGACAAAGCCAGCTTTGGAAGGAGACACAAAACGGATGGATAGACATCAAGCCAAAAGAGAGACAGTGACTCATTCATTCAGAACGCTGGCTCGGCCTTTCGTGTGTGCCTCCAGGGGCTCTGGAAAGGTTCTGTGCACCCTTAAGCAGGGTGTGTGCAAAAAAACACCCCTGGCTGGGATTATGGGAGTTGCAGTCCAAGAAATCCAGGAAGACCCCGGCTGGGACAGGCTTTGTAAGCATCAGGGACAAAAAAAAACTGGTGCATATTTGGGAAATACTGTAAGCTTATTTGTAGAGAAAACAAGCCCTGGTTTAATCAAGCCCCAACTCAGCAATTTCACAAATGGAATGTCCTCGATGAGAAAATGGAAAGAAAACAAGCCTGAACACAGAAACCGAACAGAAAAGGCTTGTGAGCCTAGACTGACCACTCCCTTCCTTCTCTGCTAGATTTCTGTTTGCAGGGGCTTTTTTAAACATGGTGCAGTTAGTGAGGGTTTTTACCCTCCCTCTGCAGACCCAAGTGACAGCCCATCCTATCATCTTTGTTCACTCAGATTCAGATTCCCCCCAAAAAAGGGGGGGGAGGAAATAAAGTCAACCCACCACCTCTATTTGCAATGCCACACCTCATTCTAAAAAGGATTTCTCATTCCGTGGCTGGTTCTGAGAGTTTCTCTTCCAAACTGTAAGGGCCGCACCTCCTCATTTAATTCCAAAGTATCAGGTTGCTGGCCAAGCCACTGAACTAGAAGCAACTGGACGGCATCCATCAAGGGCTACAGTATCAGGCTACCTTATGGTGGAAGCAACTGGACTCATTTATTTTTACCTTCCACTGCTGGATGCTAGTTTGCTACAGCGATGCAATCATGGATGGATGTGCCTCCCTCCAATCTGAATAACCACCCACCTCTATGCTCTCAATGCACCGATTTCATACCCTCTGAAACCTGGTGCAAAAACAGTAATAAATGTGATAAGAAGCCGCTTTCTCCTGCTAAAGAGGCTTGTGTCCCCCCATTAACCACAGAGAATACAGGAAGGTCTTTTTCAGGTACCAAAAGCAAACACACACACCCCTTTCCATTCTCTCCGGCAGCCAAAATAGAGGCCAGTGGTGAAAGCCAACACAACCTCTGCGTTCGAATTGTTTTAAACAGGTCCGTCATTAATAGCTCACAGAGGAACAATGCAGCGTTGTGGAGAGGCGCTGTGGCTGTGGTTAGGTGTTGGGACTGGGGCACGCAGGCCCCAGGCTGACTCTTCTATCAAAGCAGGAGATTTACTAGGTGGCCTTTTAAAAGTCTCAGTGGCTCTTGCACTTATTCCCCAGCGCTGCTCCCATGTACGATGCCTGGCGCCCACACCAGAGATGGTGTTTTGTGCCAGTTCTGCTGTTGTTCCAACAGGTGTTCCACGGTTCCAAGCCCTGCCTCCTCCAGCAGGCACCCACTCAAGAGGCAGCACCCAGAGGAGGCGGGGCAAGGAAGGTGAGGCCTTTGAGTGGACACCTGTCAGAGGAGGCGGGGCTCGGAACCCCAGAACGCCTGGTTCGGTGGGCACGAACCACCAATGTGTGCCCACTCTTAACTCACACCAGAATTCAGGAGGAAGATAAATGTAACTAACAAAGCCCATGTTGGGGGAACAGATAAACTTATCCAGAGTAATCAAAATCAGACTCAGACAAAACCCTGAAGTACAGTGGTGCCTCACTTAGCAACGCTAATCCATTCCAGGATGTAACTAACAAAGCCCATGTTGGGGGAAGAGATAACCTGATCCAGAGAATTCAAAATCAGACTCAGCCAAAAGCCTGAAGTACAGTGGTGCCTCGCTTAGCGACGTTAATCCATTCCATGAAAAACGTTGCTTAGCGATTTCATCGCTGAACGGAATAAAAAAGCCCACAGAAACGCATTAAAACGTGTTTAATGTGTTCCTATGGGCTTAGAAACTGACCTTATGCGAAGATCCTCCATAGGGGCGGCCATTTTCGGTGCCTCTAAAGTGAGGCAAAACAGCGGGCAGCCATTTTGTTTTTCCGGCGGCCAATTTGGAACCACCGATCAGCTGGGCAGCCATTTTGGAACCATCGATCAGCTGGTCAAAAATGGGAGCTTTGTGATTATCGCTTCCCCGCGATCATCGCAAAGCAATTTTCCCCCATAGGGGCCATCGCTAAGCGATCGCTCTGGCGATGGCCAAAACCCCATCGCTAAGCTATTTCATCACTCAACGGAGCAATCGCTAAGCGAGACACCACTGTAGTAGGCATATGTGTTTGTTTTTTAAAACATACTTTATGGCTTGGTGATGTCATGGCATGTTAAGAAGAGAAGGCACACCTTTTGGTGCTTATTCAGCTAGATTAATACTGGGGAAAAACCCAGCTTTTCCCAGGGTCAGCAAACTCAGGCCCTCCAGCCCACTGCTGGAGTTCCAACGCCCATCATCCCTCACCACAAGCATTCTAGTGCAGACGGGTATTGTGGCCCCCTCCGTCCTTCACCACTCAGCTAAGCCCAGGAGCCTTCAATACAGGCACCAGAAGAGCAACCCACTGCTTGCTAAATATTGGAAGCAGGCTCCAGGGAGGCCATAAAGGTGCTGGGCTATCTTCCCCGAGGGGCTCACCTTTGGAAGTGTAGAGATCTACCTCAACGGTGGGATTCCCACGGGAGTCGAAAATTTCACGAGCTTTAATCTTTTGGATGGACATGTTGGCTGTCTGGAGAACAGGAAGAGAAACAGAAATGCAGGAGTTTAAAGATTAAAATGCTAGCCCACTGCACAAACAGCTTGACGGTACACGAAGCTGCCTTATACTGTCTTATAACCAGTCCTTTTTAACTTAGCATTGATGGCAAGGAGTTTCCTCAAGTTTCCTCCTGGCCCATTTCACCACAAATCCCATTACCACATACTGGTTAGGTGTGATGGAAGCCACCGTCCAACACAGAAGGCAGCAGCTTGGGGGGAAGGCTGCTTGACAACACTAAAAAAATGCCCCTTGGATCCAGACTAGCTGGCAAATTTCTAGCCCACAAGAAGATCTGGACTGGATGTAGCTCAGAAGGGCCGGGAAAAACAGAAAACTGACTACCTTTAAACTTCTTTGAGATGTTGTTTGTACACTAGTAAGCACTAGTTCCTAATCTGTTTAATCAATTCCCATACCAGTGATTTTATTTTATTTTTTATTTGAATCTCTGGGTGCGTAACATCTGAATTTTATTTATCCTTTTTGCAGAACACAAACAACTTTAAATGAAGTGGGCATCCGAATTTTATTTATCCTTTTTTGCAGAACGCAACTAACTTTAAATAAATTGGGCAGAAGAGGGCGGAACCCTCCATAACCTCCCAAAGTCTAATTTAGGCCACTCATTCCATTATTAAACGCCTTTCCAATGCAAGAAAGCCAGACAGATTTAATGCAGCCGGTGACTTAACTTAATGCTAAGCTAATCAATTTCTAGCACGCACGAGTCTGTGACTTCCAGTGGCGGTTTTGCCCCTCCTGGAATCACATCCTTACAGAAAAAGGATCCAGAGTTTGTAGGAGGTGCTATGTGTATGGAAAACTGCAGCTGGAGAGGAACACAAAAGATAATTTCACCTTTTCCGCCAGACAAGGTACTCACAGCACATCTGCTCAGCTGCCTAACCAGACTATACAGAGGAGGCTGCATGTCTCGGATGTCCTTGAGTCCGACCTCATCACAAGCGCCTCCCCTTCCTGCACCGCTCAGCCAGCTTATTCACACTGCAGCTGTTCCCGGACGGTTGTGCCCTTTTCTCTTTTAACCCTCCTCCTTCCATCTCCCAGTTTTTTGGAGGAGGGACTGGGAACGACATCACCCCCAACATCCCAACCAGAGTGAAGGAATTGTTTTGGAAAACAGCTTTCTCTTTATTTGGAGGGGAAAAAACTGAGACAAAAGTTTAAAAGAATTAAAGCCATTCGGCCTTCTTTTAGCCTGCTGGATTGGGGTGGGGGGTTGTTGATGGGCATTGTATTGAGAGGGCTCCATCAGATTGGGCGAGGAAGGGCAGGGCACGTGGCAAGTCAAGCAAGAATCTGAATAAAATGGACTCTCTCTTCTCACTTGCCTCTCCATCTTGTGGGTTTTTTTTTTAAATTGCAAAGCTGGGACTGCAATTTCCTGTCTCAGGATGTCTCAGCGTGCTTTGTGACTCAGCATTTCATGTAACAGGGGAAAAAATCCACTTCAAAAAAGAAGAAGAAAATTCCAATACCGGAATCTGAATTACGCTTCTCCCCATCCCCACCCCAATAGGTCTCTACGCAGATTCCCAAGGAAGAGATTTCTTCTCTCCGGGTCTCTCCAGGTCCAGATTTTTGTGCTCCCTCTTCTTTCAAGCAAGGATTCTGATCATTTGCCAAGTCTGCAAATGTTTCCCTCCCTCCCCTCCCAAGCCAGACACCTTCCAAAGAGCCTGGACAACCCCCTTCATTATCCCCAACCAACAGCCCTCCCACTGAGAAGGAGGCAGCCAAGAGAGGTTGCTGCCAAAGGATCCAAAAGGAGAGCAATTTAAATTTTATATTTTTCTTTTTTACAAAGATTTTCCAATAAAGTACACATCTGTAGAGGTGTACTATTCATCTTGGCTATTTCTAGGCTTCTCCCTGCTCCTGAAAGAGCCACTCTCACTGCCTTATTGGGCTAAAGCATTTAAAATTCTTTCTCCACACCTGCAGGATGAACAAATGGGAACTCTGAGCTTGCAGGATGGGTGCAACCACTTATCTAAAATCTTTTCACTAACCCATTTAAAATTGCAGGATGAACAAACGGGAACTCTGAGCTTGCAGGATGGGTGTAACCACTTATCTAAGATCTTTTCATTTTTTAAATGGTCCCCGAGGACAGGGAGGCCTGTTCAGTTTCCCATTGTGCCACATTAAGTTCACTTTCAGCCTCTTTCACTAACCCTAACCTACCTCATGGCTGGCTTTCTTGTAAGGGAAGATAGCATATTACCTTGTATTGACAACTCCCCGCCAGTAGAAATCTAGCACACAAAATAGGCAAATCTTTCCTTGATGAGCTAGTTTTCTACTGGAAGGGGGTAAGCTTAAACAGCATTTTAACTAGACACTGGAGGAAACAGACAATACTACATACACACTACTTCCAATGCTATGTTCCCTACTGTTCAGCTTCTGCAGGAGGGTGGGGCCTTGGAACCGATTTTCCCCCTAATACCATGGTATGGCAATTAAAGTGACACAACTTTTTTTCACGATTTTTGTTTTGTGTTTTTTGTTTCACAGACTAAAACGGCTAGAACTTCAAAAACAAACAAGACATGCATCTTTCCAAGGTACATCTGAGGTGGGCAGTCAGCCATTCCCAGGCACACAGATTTTTAAAAGGCAACCCAGATAGTGGATGAAAGACTTTAACACTAAATATTTGGGAAGACGGAGATGAAGGACAGCTGCTGTTGAAAGAAGGTTAAGGTCAAAGCCCAGGTACCAACCCGCTGTAAATCATTAGACAAGACCACACAGGTTTCATCAGCAGAGAACAAAGTTTGAAGAGTTAATGCGGCATGCTTTCAGGGCCAACAAGCATGTTGTAATAACTCTGTAAATCTTTTAGGCAACACAAGACTCTTCCAATGTTTCTGCTTCAATTAATCAGGAAGTTGTTAAAGTCAGTGGGTTTTAACTCTGATTGCAAGGGGTCTTAACTCTGATTTCTGTAAAAGCCGTTTGCAGTAAGAAGGTGGTGCTGAGCCATTTTTTCCTGCAAAGGTAAAATCCCCACCTCTTCTAAGAGAAACGATCCCCAGACCAAGGACAAACCGCTCTGCTGCAATGAAGCAGTGACGCAGGTCCTTTACTCATACTCCACAGGCGCTTAGGGATACTAGCCAGCAAAAGAGGAGCAGCACAGATTCACTGTGTTAATCACAGGGTGGTGTGGGGTTTTTTTAAACACTTCCTGCAGGCACTTTTAGCACATGGCTGCATCTTTCCGTGCAACCTGGCAACTGCCACCCACATAAATCAATGCGCCGAACCCCCACCCACAGAAGGCACATGGCACGCAAGGCATGTGCAGTCTTTTGCCAGTGGCTCCTAATCTGCTTGGCTAGAGCCTTCTATTCCTACCTCTTTCACTTTGGCAGAGATCCTATTTTTGTCTTTTTACTGTAACTATCCCCAGACACCTGCATAAGGGCTCTCATAAGGGTTCACAGACTTTAGGCCCTAAGCAGGAATCAAAGTTACACGTGAGAAAGTGTTTGGTAATCTGTTAGATAAGATCCTTTTTTAATTATTATTAGTTCAGCGCAGCCCTCATTTAGGAAAAAAAAACTTTGGACAGATTTCATAGGGCACCTTGTAACATTTATACCGATAGGGAAAACTGGGCTTAAGTAACTACTAATGCAGTGAAAGGGAAATAGAGATCCGTTTTGTAAGAATGGATTGCGATCCCACAAAAAAAAAATCTTGGTTCTTTCGCTACTCCTGTTCCACCCAAGCTATGGGGATAAGCCAGGAAGCAAGGAGGCTTCCTAAGGCGGGCACAATTTCCACCTCTCGGGTTGCCGGGTTGGGCCTCACCCTTCCAATGCGGAGGAAAAAGAAATCAGGGCATCCAATATTGCGTTGAGGGTTTTTTAAAAACTAACTTCCTCAATTACCCCAGTAATTGAGCTTCATCCCCTCTCCAAGTTTTCTTTCCATGAGTAACCTTCGGGGAGAAGACTGGAAAAATAAAATTCTTTGGAAGGGGAGAGAAAAGAGGTGTTCGGATCAGGGGCATCCTCAAGCTTTGTGCTAAATTTCCCCCCAAAACCACCATTCTCGCCCCACCCCACCCAAGACGATGGTGCACTAGCACCAGGCCATCCACACCTGTAACTCTTCCGCTTCCACCGCCAATTGTGCATCTCGTGGAGATGGCTAGAGAGGAGTATCGGTCTGGTTTTACGGGCCTCCATGGGCTTTCCCAAGGGCCGGATCTCCCTCAACGTCCGGGGAAACGATCCACGCTTCGAAGGCCGAGATTTGGGGAAGAGAAGGGAAAAACAAAGCGCCTTCCTTTGTTCCCCCCCAAGCCAGAAACGCGTTCCTGCGGAATGCAACGGCCGCGGGCCCCCTGCACCCCGCTTGGGCATTGCAGACGCCTCCCACGCCTCGCTTTTCTCTTTCCAACTCAGGCTCCGGTTTGCACCATTTTTTTGCAAATATTCCCTTCCTCTCCCCCATGCAACCGCTTGGTGGCTCGTTACAAGACTCTCAACTGTGGGGCTATAAATTATCCTCCCCGTTCATGCACTTCCTTTCGAGCCCCGGTACTTAACAGGACTTGACCCCCTCCCCCCAAAAAAGTAAAAGATAATAGCTGTATTAATATAATAATAATAGATTACCGGGTAAATGGTGCAATCACTCCCTGCTGGCGTTCCCGGGCAACTGGGGAAGAGCACCTCGTCTCGCGCGGAACTATAGGCCGGTCCATGCAAATGAGGTACCCGCATCTCGGCTTCTCACTGGCTGGACCGGGCCGTTCGGTTCTTCCTGATTGGTCGGGACGCGCCTCTCGCCCGAGCAGTCTTGGGGCGCGTGCGCTACGTGCCCAAGCCGGCTTCGCTTGCCCGGAAAAGGCCTTTTAAAGTTTGTGGGGTTTTTTTTTAATGTTAAGAATGGAAAATCCCCATTTTGGTGGTAGTAGGTGCTCGGCGCTGTACCCCCACGTTTTCCTCATGTTTTTATAGCCCCCGTAAGCAATAGTTGCATAGTAGCACAATCCAATCCCGCCCAAGAGGGAACAGAAAACTAGATTTTAAATATTTTTGTTAAAGTTTTTTCAGCATATTAAATCCATAGCCTCTCGGCCAACGTGGCACTTCTAAGAATGTTATTATTATGAATAGAGTAATTAAATAAATTTTATTTAAACAAACAAATTCCAAATACATGCCCCCAAAGACTGACTGCTACAGGCGTTTTGAAACAATCTTTTAAAAAATGGATTTGGAGCAAGGACCCCATTGCTCATGGAAAGAAAACAGTGATAATAATAATATTAATCATAATATTACTTATATTATGCTCTACACCGGAATGCATTCCAATAAAATCAATAATTAACATGCAACACAGCATTTAACAACAACCTTAATGTTTATTTATTTATTTATTTATTTACATCCTACCTTTGTTCAGTTATGGAGGATGTCAGGATGTCGTTAGGATTCTTCTTCTTAGCAGTCCCTTTATCCGCTTTTCCTGGGCGGGGAGGGGGCGGGCGGCATAACTAACTGTCGCCTAAGGGCCGCTCCTTTCATTTCGCAACAAAGAAAAAAATAACATTAACATTACCTCAAAATGACATTCGAACGAAAAGGAAGGTAAATACTGAAAAACATTTTTTTAAAAAGAAAACATTTTATTGGGACAAGGACGGTCAGACATATTTTTGATCGACAGAGCTGCACAGGCAAATGTAGAAAATTCAACGGACCAACTTTGGTTTTGGGATGGATGATGGATGGATGATTTTCTCCTTGGTCCCCTACCCGGAGCCCTGGGCTCCCTCCCGCCTCCCTTCAGCCTTCCAAACAAACCTCCTGAGGTAAATAAGAGGATGAGACACAAGCCCAAACAACCGCCAAATCTACTTTTTACCTGCGAAGGGAGATTTTTGACCAGGGAGAAAAAAATCTCACACTCAAAATAAATGTGTTAAGTCTTCAAACTGCCACAATATTTTGGCAAAAAAACACACCTTCATTTCCCCCCCTTTATTGTTGCCCATACGGCTCCATCTTGGCTCCAGCCTATTCTTTGACCCCATTTTGATATTCTAATTCACTGGGACCCTTTTTTCTTTCTTTCTTTCCTCACCCACACACCTCCTACTTTTCACATAGAAATATGAGGCCTGTTATTGTTGCCTTGGAGAGACAAGGTCCCATCCTGACCCCATGAGAAGCTGCCTCAGAGTCTGAGGTGAGAGGCCCCCCAAATGGCTTCCTTTCTGGAATGGGAGAAAATGGGGACCTTTTAGGTCCTTCTCCCCGAGGCCTCCCCTTCCTTTTCATGGAGCCCTTTTGGCCTGTGAGGGGGGGATGAGTGTGTCGTTAATTAGCTCAGAAGCTAATTAGGAGCAGGAGCACCCTATTCCCTCAGATATCAGGCCAAAAACTGAAGGGGGGGAGGGTCAGGGAGGCTGTCATGATGTCATGGGGGAAGGCCTTGTGAGGTCATAGGGTGGGTCCTTGTGATGTCACAGATGAGGGCAGGGAAGAGGGGATGAGGTGGAACTAGGGGAATCTGAATAAATAATCCCCAAATGCAGGTAAAACTTAGGTAAACAGATAATTTTGGTCACACAGAACCAGAATTTCCCCTTCTATTTGCCAAGAGGTGATGGGTCCGGTGGCCACGATTTTTTTTTTTTTTTTTTTTTTTTTGGCAGCAAACTGTGCAGGAGTTGCTGCCCTTCCCACTGTGGGTTGCATCTTATTCACGCCTTACCAACAATACAAGTCAGGGTTTGCTGCAGATAGTGGGGCTGCTGCCACTGCGACCCCTTCATGCCTTCCTCCTAAGGGGGTTGTCTTGCTTTTTGCCTAAAGGTAGGGCCGGCCCTAGCCTAGGTTGAGTGGAGCTGAATGAGAGGAGTTCACAGATAGAGATCCAGAGGGAAACGGAGGCCGTAAAGATCTGGCAACGTTGTCAGAGGGTTTTGTAGGTGATGAAGAAGAAGGTGGTTTTTTTTTTGCACACCAGGTACAAAAAAGAAGGGTTAACAATAAGAGCTCACGGCTATGTATGATGTCATAAACAGGCCCACAGCATACATAGAGAATTTTCGCACAGATCATCAACAGAGGACAGAACGAGGAGAAGAATGTCACTAGAACTCCCCAGCTAATATAGTTTTCAATCCCCGACATTTATATCACATCACACAATGATCTGGTGAGTTCAGCAGAATGTATAGAGAAGAGCCGAAACAGTTCGGTCTCTGGTTATGGAACCGGAATTTCTGAGTTCGGTTCTCCTCTGTGCCTTCCTGAAAGGGGCTGGACTCAATCATCCTTAGGATCCTTTTCCAGCTCTGCAGTTCTAAGATGATGATGATACACTTCAAAATCTGTAGCAGATTTTGTACCGTACCTAATTATTTTCAGACTTCAGTTGGCACAGAAATCTTGTCTTTTGAGGATCTCCATAAAACATACAAAAATCACCAATAAAGATCTCAAGAGTATGTTCTAAGAAGAAATAGGATATAATTTGCCAGGGCATAGCAAAGCTATCTTGTTTTAATCCTTCTCATGAGGGTGAGGAAATCCTGATGTGGTGGGACACCCGACACCCAGAGTAGCTTATGACCGTGGGTAATGGGAGTTGTAGTCCAACCAGGTTCTCTGCACCACCTTATAGGGTGGAGGTGGAGGGGCAAAAGGGTGAGATGTAAAGAGGGTTGGCAGTGGGCCACAAAGAAGGGAATTTGAACTCGCGACTCCCCGCTGTTTCTGGATCACTAACCTCATCCCCTCTGTCCTGAATGCCAGCTCCAAATGTGTCAAATCAAAATTCAGATGGGCCGGGGCATGTGGAAATTGCTGAGCATATTTTAAGCATCACTGGACACACCTGGAAATCTGATAGGCGTAAGATTTCCACCTCTTCCGCTCTGACGGTTGCCTCTAGAATCAATCAGATTTTTCTCTTTTTTTAATTTCTTTCTCCCTGTCCTTTCCTCATCTTCTGCTTTCTCCTTTGCTGAGGGACTAAGGCCCAAAGCTTAGCCAAGAGGGAAGAAAAAATACTCTACTGTATTTCTTTGTCTGCCTGTCCCCCTTCTGCAAAAAATGCGGAGGGCCACCTGAGAAGGAGGGCCTTGACTGTTTCACACCCCCCCAGGATTTTCTGGGGCCCACGGCTGGTGGGAAGCATTCATCATCCCTTCTTCCGGGAGGCTGCATCAAGAGGTTCGACCCCGGCCAGCTCTCCCCGGAGCGGACAGCCAGCAGTGGAAAGGTAGAAACCGTCATCCACACTCCGTGCCATTGACCTCCGCATCGCTTCTTGGCTCTGCTTGCAAAGTTATTTTGCTCTTCCATTAGGAGGCCTCCCTCGTGGGTCAATAAGATATCATTAGAGTTACTCTCATCTGTCAACAGGCAGTGGAAAACAGAAAAGCGCCAAGCCACCTAGCCGTAATCTCTGGGGGAGGGGGCCAAAGTGGGCTGGATTTAGAGTAAATTATTATTTACTCTTTCCGCAACCCTAGGAAGAAAACGAGATGATTTCCCGACTACCATCTGACTTCAGACCCCGTACAACCATGAAGGTGATCGGCTGGGTTCTCCCTTGGTTCCTTCTGCAGCTCGGTTCCTCTCATATCCTGGAGTGGACCTACAAAGGTAAGGAGGAAAAACCAAGGGAAATGGGGACGGCTGCTTTTTTCCCCCCCTTTAAAATCTCTTTGAACATCTCTTGCTCACAACCTGGAGGTCTGACAACCCAGTTTAGGATCGGGCAATTCAGGTTGAATCCCTGCCCTGTTCGTTCATGGAATAAACCCAATTTATTTCAGTAGGGATTTCTTCTACAGGAGCAACAGGGCTGGGTGGTGGTAGGAAAAGAACGAAACGTTGCATGCAAACTTTAAAAAACGGACCGATTTATTGTGGCACAAGCTGTTGTGGAATATTGCCCATTCCACAGGGAGGAATGACCTTGGAAGTTAAAGGTGTCCCCTTGCCCTTTGTTATTTTTGCAATAAACACCCGCCACCCTTTTTTGGAAACGGTTGCAGGGGAACCGACTGATCAGGAGTCAGTTCTTGTGGTCACCTCCATCGGTTAGTCTTGAAGGTACGGCTCGTGGCCGTTCTTCTTCCTAGGAAATAACATTAAAATGACGACAGCCTTAAAAGTGCCATGCCATCCGTGAAATCTCTGCACCAGAATCTAGCTGATACATGCACTGGAATGAGGAAGCACAGAGCTGGTCCAGGGTAAAGCCAAGAATGGGATGTTATTATCCTTGTTTGAAACAAGATGGGAAGGGCAGAAAAGACCTCAAGGAAAAGTGCCTTGCTCAGGGTCTGGGGGCAAATGTGCCCCCAGGACGGGTCTCACTGTTCAGTCTCCAGATGACACCCCCCCCAGAGACCCCTCTCCCTGCTTAGGGTCTCTGAAACTGCCAGAGAACTAGAGGTCACTGTTCAGTCTCCAGATGACACCCCCCAGAGACCCCTCTCCCTGCTCAGGGTCTCTGAAACTGCCAGAGAATTAGAGGAAGTTGGGAAATGTGTTAGTATTGAACTGGGCAGGGAGGGGAGGGAGGCCGAGAGATCTGAGCGACAGACCTGGCATCTCTGCCTGCCTATAAGAGGCTAAATAGATCAAGCGGGGGGGGGGGACATTTTAAAAGCTGCGGCAAATTTTTAATGGCCTGCACATTAAGGAGGTGAGGAGCAAATAATGCAAGTAAGCCAACAGCAGCCGGGGAGCCCTCAAGCGTGATTTTTTTCCCTTCAACGCCTAGGCAAATAATGCAAGTAAGCCAACAGCAGCCTGGGAGCCCTCAAGCGTGATTTTTCCCCCGCTTCAACGCCTAGAAGCCTCTAGGAATGCAGGAAATCTCCTCGAAACTTAAATTCTTGGATTTTTTTCTTACTTTTTGTTCATTCAGGAGGCTTTTTTTTTGTGCCCCCACCCACCCACTGCATTTTGTTTCCATAAGCTTTGGGAGACTATAGGCCACTTTTTTAGATGCTGCCGTGAGTGCCAGAACACAAAGGAAGTGACCGGATCCCTCATCCAGTTACAGCTGTCCTGTAACTTAGTTACTCTATAGGAGGGGGGGGGGAAGAAGGCCTGGATGTTTTTAACGAGTTCCTTCCAAATTCTGGGCAAAGCTGGTGGCAGGAAATGAACCCGCCGTTGCTTTCATGTTGCCTTCTGCTTCTCTTCCTCATTTCTGGCATCCTCCAAGGGGAACTGGACGAGAGGCAGTGGGGGAAGCACTTTGTGGACTGCCTGGGGAAGCGCCAGTCGCCCATTGACATTCGGAAGAAGAACGTTCGGTACAACCCAGAACTGGGGGTCCTGGAGTTCCGCGGCTACGAGGGACCCCTGCAAGGAAATTTCACCATGACCAACAACGGGCACTCAGGTGAACATGTACGGTGGTCCAGAGGCCATCCTCTGGTCTGCATGGAGAGTTGCGTTTCAGCCCTGACTTTCCTCCACTGACCACCAAATGGTCATTGGCCAGACGGCTTTACCTTGAAAGGCCAGGCATTGGAACTGGAAATCTTCAGGATATCCAGCAAATCTGCCTGCCTTGCTGTTCCTTTCTCCTCTCCGCCTGGGGGAAGTTGTCTTCCCTTCATTTATGTTAAACATATTTTTTAACCCAGATTTTCTCCTTAAAAAGGACACAAGGCCGCTTAGACCCTTGAAAGGCGATATGGAAAACTGAAAACAATGAGGAGGCAACAGGGGTCCACAGCACTAAAAGACAATATTTAAAGCTAAGCACAGTGTGCATGAAGCGGCTGGCTTGCAACATTAAATGACAATATTAAAGCTAAAACAGTAAGTCTGCAGATCTTAAAAAGGAAACAAACTAGCACCCCTCTGAGAGATGATAAGGGGAGAACCTGTTTCCACACATCCAAATAAGAGATCTTGGGGCTATCAAAGGGCCATCTCCTGATACTTGAAGAAACCTATCAGGGCTGTTAATCACTCATTCAGCCAGAGAAAAGGACCTGAACACTAGGTGAGAAAAGACACAAAGCACATACATACACACAGTGGAGATGAGATCTGGGCATCTCCCCACTATCTTTCAAAAATACAATATTTGAAACTTTTTGGGGTGGAGTGGGGAGATGCCAAGCAGGGCCGCCCAAGAGATTTTGCTGCTTGAGACTCTCCACCCACACTGGATCTCTTTCTGTGTCCTGTAATACAAAAACACAACCACAGAGGCTATATATATACACACACACACGTTGGGCTGTTGAGACACTGTCTGTGGTGGTGGGGAGGGAACCCTAATTGTGTTGTTCTGAAACATAATTGTTGTGACAGTCTGTTTGTTTATTATCCACCGCTGAGTATGCTCAGCCTCTCATTAAGAATCTTCAGCACAGCGGTATTATCTTATCGGCATCACTCTTGGCAAATTAGTTGTTTTTTTTCTTAATGGGCTGGTGTCTTGTTGCTCAGTCTTGCTTCCCTCTCCCCAACCAGAAAACAACAACAACAACAACAATTGTTCTTGTACATGCATTTCCATTTGTGCAGCTGGCCCAAGCCCACACAGGCTGGCTCTACTCACAAGGAGCCCACCGTGGAGGATCAAACTCCCAACTTCCAGAGCCGGCTAAACCCCTGAGCCATTTAGCCAGTTATTACATCAGATATTTAAAAAACCCAAGATGCTGCACAATTGTAAAATCCACCCAGGCGAACAACGCCCATGGGCAAGCGTTTTTTCAAAAGAGGAGCAGACTTTTTTGAGTTGCTGAACTCCTGGTAGGTTTAAACTCCCAACAGCCACCTGGAGATCTAGCAGATCTCCCTTCTTTTCACTTCTTTTGCAACCTCCCTCGCAAGAAGGTGTGTGACTTCATCTTGCTTCTTTTGCGATTCAAGGCCCTTTGCTTTCCTCTGGCATTTTACACAGGGCACCTGGGGAATCCTCGCGGGAAAGGGTAAACATGCAGCAACCTCAGTTATGAAACAATGGCTGACGGCATAATTACACATTTAAACAAAAAAATAATAATGACAGAACGAGCCGTGGATGTTCTCTGTTTGTTTCGGCTTGGTTTGGTTTTCATGGTTCTTTATTATAATTATTTCAGAAGTACGACTTTCAGAGCAAACAGATTCTTCCTCCCGCAGCCAATCTGCTGAACAGAGAGCTTTTTAAGCCAAATGGACCCTGCTTTTCTATATCTGAAACCAGAAAAGGAATAGGACTTTTATGGGTTCGGTGTGAAAGAGCAGCATGTTCTTTTCCCGACTTGGCAGAGTGTTTTATAACCGGGATGATGCTCCAGAGTTGTTCTAAGGCTTCTGAAATAATAGCAACACTTTAATATTTTATTACAGGCCTGCAAACTCTGCCGTCTTTCAAGCCAAAGCGTGGAATGTTCTGCCCTCCTGGTTCGCTTTTAAATAGCTCCTCATCTCAGATTCATCAGGAAGCTATTTTTTAAGCTGTTCCCCCCCCCCCCCGCTCCTCTGCCTGAAATGCTTGGTCTGAAATGCTGGAATATCATGGAGTTTTCACAGACTTTTTTAAAAACGGTAGTAGAAAAAATCTCTTGGACATGAGAGGCTGAACTTAAGAAGTGGTGGAATCATTATAAAAGGGATTCCAGGAAAGGAATCTTAAACATTTGACTGTGATGCCCCCGATATAGAAGCACCATAGTCTCTGGGCTGGTTTGTAGTTTTATGACAGCAGTCATTCTGGGATTCCACATCTCCATCGCATCAGGTGCAACTTGGGTGTGTCCAGATACCGTAATTTCATTTCTGTTTCTGGGCTAACCCCGAGGCTTTGCGATTTCTGACTCATGGCCCATCCCGTTCTTCTTCTGCCTCCCAGTTCAGATCGGCCTCCCTCCCACCATGACCGTCGTCAAAGGCCTCCCGGGGGTCTTCACCGCCGTCCAGCTCCACCTCCACTGGGGAGGCATGGATCTAGAGACCAGCGGTTCCGAACACACCATGGACGGGATGCGGTATATTGCAGAGGTAGGCGACAGCCCTGCGGCCACTGGGGAAAGGACCCCAGAAAGGGGGGGGGAACATTGGTGGTCCTTCTCATTCCGAAACCACACCCCAATCTTTCTTCTTGCAAATATTGGGTGTTTAAACAAAAAAAATATCACAAAATGCCCTTGTGCTACACATTGTCCTGGGAAGGAGGGAAGGCTGAGTCAACCTTGAGCCGGCTACCTGACTCCGTTGGGATCAAACTCAGGTTGTGAGCAGATTCTTGACGGCAGTACTGCAGTTTAACCACTGTGCCATGAGGCTCAGAGGCACAAGAGAGCATTCCACTCTCCCCAGAGGAATTAATTTAGGAGGAGTGTGTATGAGGATGTTGGGGAGGTGGGCTCTGGTACTGAGCTGTGGGGGGGGTCCCTCCTCACCTTTCACCCCCTCTTCTCCTCTCCCCGGCAGCTCCACATCGTCCATTACAATTCGGGCGCTTACGGAAGTTTCGAAGAAGCGAAAACTAAACCCAATGGCTTGGCTGTCCTGGCTTTCCTCTACGAGGTAGGGAAAAGCTGTTTTATTAGAGCTGGTGGGATGTCATGAGCAGTGTGCTAAAGACCTGGGTTCAAATCCTTGCATTTTGAAGGATCAGAAATTAAAAAAAAAAACACGTTTGAAGCTAACGCTAGAGGGCACCCCACTGACGAGTTACAGCTGGTTTCCGCTTGTCACTGCATTCTTACTTCTGAAAAGCGACTTTCCAGGTTCTGAGTTCCGCCAAATAAAAGGGGGGGGGGACCCTAAATACCAAATGGTGGATGAAAAATTGTGGTGTCCCACGGTGGGGACTTGTGGTCCGAAAACATCTGAGGACCCACGGTTAGGAACCACGGGTCTATATAGGGTCCCTTCCAGCCTTGCAGATTATTGTTAACTCTCCCTCCATTAGGCACCCATTAGGCAACAGAGCTGATGAGAGAGGTAAAACCTACACAAATGATAATGCCCACCTATTTCTCATTGCCAAGCATCCTTCTCTCAATTTCTCACTAACTTCCAGCCTTCTTCTGTCTTGTAGGAGGGCCATTTTGAAAACACTTACTACAGCGGTCTCATTGCCAACTTGGCTAAAATCAGATTCGCAGGTAGGTTTGCAAGATCTCTCTCCTAACTTTGCATGGTGCATTATTCCTCGGTTAGGCAAAATAATATAGATTTTAAGTGGCATCGTTTTTCATTGGGTGGACTCTTTCACCCCTCCCGTACCGGATGCTCTGCAGCAAATGACAGCCAAGTTATTCTGGCACCCAGGAGTATCTTGCTCTGTTGCGGACAATTAAATAAAAAGCTTTAATAATAAATAGTAACAATTAGCTCCCCTTTTTATTATTATGCAGAAATCATATAAAGGGGAAAAAACATGAAAGCTGAACATGACACTTAAACGTGATAACCAACATGTGCTGTTTCCTTCCTTCCTTCCTTCCTTCCTTCCTTCCTTCCTTCCATCCTTCCTTCCTCTATTGAAAGAGGGAGGCAACAAAAGAGAATTAGGCTCTAGCTTCACCTCTCTCTTTTCCTTCCCCCCTTCCTAGGGCAATCAACCACCCTCAACACCCTTGATGTCCTGTCCATGCTGCCAGAAAACCTGGCCCATTTCTACCGGTACCAGGGTTCCCTGACGACCCCTCCATGCACGGAGAATGTGATCTGGACCTTGTTCGACTCCCCCATCAAGTTGTCTCACACGCAGGTAGATATTCAGAAGGCGCTCCCCTGCCTTTCTCTACGTCTCCCCCTCTCCCCCCCCCAGCGTTTTCGGAAACAACTTGGTAAACACATCCATTCTGAGAGCTGGTCGAGAGCTCATGATGAAGTGTTCCAAGACAGAAAAATTGCAGGGAAAATAGGAGAGAATTACAGTTTTCAGATGGGTTATGATCTTTGGTCGGCTCTCCATGAAATGCGAGTGAAAAAAGCCATAGGGATCACAAAGAATTATATGGGGTAGAAGCAGTTTGAGATTGACTTGTCATTTAGATACTGCTTTGCCCCCCCAGGGGTCCAAAAAGACACACGTGACCTTTCTCTTCCTTTTTTCCGTGTTTCTCGTGACAACTCTGTGAGGTCAATCAGGCCAAGATAAGAGTGACCCAGTGAACTTCATAATGAAGGACCATATTTTAAATGAATGAACTAACGAACGAACGAACGAACGAATGCATGCCCATGCAGGCTGGGACAGTTCACCACTTATAGTTCCAAAACATGTAATGTTTCCGATCCCTGGCTCTAGCCACTTTGTGGCCACCAAGAACAGGTCTTTTTTTAAAGCCAAAGGCACTTAACTGCCTACTCAAGACCAAGCCACCCCAAATACTTTGTATTGTAACTGGGATAGCTTAGGACACAATAGTACTAGAAAAATGTATCCCGACCACTTGTCTCCTATCTGTTGTGAGAACAGTGGCAAAGCACCACCCCTAGGGAACAGGGAAATGTCAGGAGCAAGGGAGGTGGCATCGTTGTCCTTGGTCCTTGCTCCTTAAGAAAAGAGTCGTGGTGTTGCATCCCCATGTGCTCTGATTACCCTGTATCATTACCTCTCAATGTGTTGGAGCCTAGTTCTCTTAGATCTATTTCTATCCCCTAAAAAAAAAGTAGCAATGTGATGTATTTTGTAGATTAACCTGCTGGAGAATGCCTTACTAGATTGGGAGAACCACACGCTGAGGAATGACTACCGCCAGACCCAGCCCCTCAATGACCGAGTGGTGGAATCCTCTTTCACTGCCAAGCCAGCCCCTGGTAGGTACCCTCCGTGGCCCAAGAAACCAAATCCATGACACGTCCTGCGTTGGCAGAGGAGCCGCCACCAGAGTAAGTGGGAAAACTGGAAGGCGTTCGAAAAAATGAAGCATGATCTGTAGTCATGGAAAGAAAGGTTGGCTTTATGGGAAAAATAATCCCACGAGGTTCATGAGATCTTCTGTTCATCCAAGAAGCACTCAAAGCAGCAGACAGCTGAGGCACCAGAGGAAGGACTGAAGCCCTAAGGCACCAGAGGAAGGACTGTAGACCCAGGACTACAGATTTGCTGAACTCCAGTCAGAAGGGTAGCAGAGACATGGCTCACTGGGCTCAGACCCCAGGACTTTCAGGGGGGTAGCGGGGCTATCGCAGCACCTCCCGCCACCCTCAGGGTATCCCTCTTCTTTTGGAGCCAAGTTGCAGTCCCCCCCCCAGGAACAATATAACGTTGCAAGCCATCCTTGTTGTAATACAAAAGTATTGAGAGCTGCATGATCTGGGATAGGCCATGAAGAGCCATTAGCTCTACCAAAGACCGGCTTCTGGTAGAATGAAACACGGCCAGAACATTTTTCTTACATTGAAGTCTTAGGGTAGGTGGATGGCATAATAGATAGTTCTAGAAACCACAATATCATGTTGGTTGATTTTATATACAGTATTCAGAATGCAGACTGCTTTTTTGGCAACCCATTGCATCAGAATAGCGGCGGTCCTTCCACTTATAGTCGCACGTGGCAGCTGCAGGACCCCCGTTGAATCCACGGAGGGTTGGCCTCATCCGTAGCATGAATTCATATGGGCCTACTCCAGTTGCCACGTACGATGCTGGATCCAGCCTGGCCACAGCTCTGTTAGCATGAAAGAGATGAAGGATGAAATGGTATTCATACGGCAGGATAGGTGGAAACGACAGCTTTAATTCCACGTCTAAAGGTTTGTACCAAAGCAGTGCCTCAATTGAACCGATAGACTTTGGTGTGGAATCGGCGTGAGTTTCTTTCAGGCCTTATTTCTCTAACCTTTTGTCCTTGCTACCTTCTCCGCAGCTGGCATTTAGATTGCTGGCTCCTTGGGGCAGGGTCTTGTTAGCTTAGGTCACTGCACAAAAGCGCCAACGTGAGCCGAAGAACCGGTCAAGGGACCTGTCCTCCTAGCGACTGTGCTCTTTGCCTTCCTCTAGAGGTGTGCCACCCAGAAACCTTCACTTCCAAACTGGACGAAATACAGACCCATCTCCAGGAAATGCGGGCGTACCTTCTGGATGCTATGGGCAAGCCTGGTAAGAATCTGGGGCAACCTGCAGCATTTCCATGAAAAACCCTGCCCCGAAGGGAGAGAGGCCAATCACACCAATGGCAAAGCGACCACGGGACCCAGATACTAGGAGGCGAAGGCGGAGGGAGGCAGGGTAGCCAAAGCACTGGGAACAGTCGCCCTAGGAGAACAGAAGGAGTCACGATCGCCGAAAGCTGTTACACGCAAGTTGGAAAGAAGGGCAGCGTTGGCCACATCCTGCCCGTCTTCTCCTTTGTGATGAAGAGAAGAATAGGGTGGAATCCTGCTCTTCTCTCCAGTCAGTGGTTGGAGGTAAAAGCAAGGTTTCCGGCGCACTCCGCTTCCCTTCTGAACTGGGAAGACTGGGGGCAAACGGGGAATCTCCCCAACTCCACAGACTCAGAGGAAGGAAGGACCTCCAGCAATGTCCATGTGGGTCAGATTGAGACGGTCTCCCCTAGATTAAATATTTGAAGGAGGAGCTTCCTAGTAAGGCCTGGATTTTTTCCCCAAAAACCCAGCACCCACTTCCCATTGACAGCTGGAACATAAAACCTAGTTTAACTTTTCAATATCCATGTGTATGTTGTAGATTATCCTATCTCAACCGGATCCCTTCACCAGGGTGTTTTGATTGTTTTTTTTTCCTCCCAGGCCACAAACCGGACAGTTTCCAAGCTCTTTTTTTCTCCCACCAATACTTGGAGGGTCATGCCGAGATCCACCCCCGGAAGCCCATGGCCCTCACAAACTTCACCCTTTGTTTCTGGAGCCAGAATCTGAAACAAGGGAAGCAAACCGTCTTCTCCTACTCCACCTTGGAAAGGGACGATGAGCTGGTGGTCACCGTGGGGGCGGACGTGGGGGTGCGGATCGGCGGGCACCTGGTACAATTTGAGCTCCACCACTGGACCGAAGGCTGGGTCCCTTACTGCCTCACCTGGGCCTCCCACTCCGGCACAGTCCACTTGTGGATCCACGGAGCCGTGGGGACGGCGAAGAACATCCAGAAAGGTTACGCGATCCAGAGCGGAGGGGTGCCCATCCTTGGGAAGAATAAGAACGCCTTGTTCAATGTCTTCAGCGATGCCTTTTCTGGATGGATGAGCCACGTCAACCTGTGGAGTCACGTCCTTCACAAGGAGGTGCTACAGGAACTCACCCTCTGCCGGCACCGGGGCCACAAGGGGGACGTCATCGCTTGGGGCGAAACGCCCATGGCCTTGTTTGGTGGGGTGGTCCTAGATGCTGACCCCAGCTGCAGGTGATGCGGTTTCTGGAAGCGAGGCCGTCTTGGGAATCCAAGAAGGGCACCGCTCCGTGCTCAACGTGCTGCATTAATTTTCCTCCCAGCTGTAAGATGTGCAGGCTGCTTCTCTGCTGATGCTCGACGCTGCTATGAATCACTTCCTGGCTGCCCCTCAGCCCCGTGAGGGTTTGCACGGCCATCCAGTTGCAGGGGGAATTCAGGACAAGGTGAGGAGGAGGAGGAGGAGGAATTGCAAACATCCTACGTCCATTGTTGGCTGTTAGCTCGTAGCAGCAGCACAAAAATACAGGCGAGGGTAGAAAAGGAATCGTCGCTGCCGCTCTGCACGGTTCCCAGAACCTGCATAGACGGATCGATCGCAGGGATATCTCACTGAAGGGTGGGATGTCCCTGCAGAATTTAGGAAACAGTCAAGGTTCATGCAAAATTGGTGATTTTTTTTTTACTGCCTTCCTGAAAAGAAAAAGGGAGGTCCCCAGGATCATCCTGTGGACAGGGGAATGGAAGAGATCGAAGAACATCATTAGAATACTGTAGTTGGTCTTTTCTTTCTGCTAGGGGGTGTGTTGGGATGATGAAAATAGCAGCAGACCCCTGGTGGTTTATTTCCCAGGCTTCACCTCTGCCTGCCTCACAGGTCCTTTGCATGGCTAGAGAATCAAGGCCAGTCTTAGTGGCCATAGGGCCCGGCATTTCTAGTTTTCCCGTATAACTTTCAGAAGGGTAGATTTCTACAAATCTTCATGGTTATTATATCTATCTTGAACCCACGCCCTTCAGGATCCCAGCGTGTGCGGATGCATGCTTGTGAAATGTGACTTGTCTGTGCACACCTGTGAAACCTTCTTTTACACGGAGGGCGCAACCCTCCTGATCATGCATTCAAGGCCCTTTCTTGGGCCCCGATCAGCCTGCACGATGCTAATAAAACCCGTCTGCATTTAAGTCAAGATTTGCACATGATTTAGACCTCTGTTGGCGAAAGCACCTGAGTATGTTGCCAATTTGGATCACTTTATTACAACAGGATTGGGCAGGATTTGAACCTGAAGTCTTTGAGGAAAGCCCAGTGGGTTTGAACTCTTAGCCCATCACTGGGAAAGTAGAACGCGGGTGTGCGGCCTTCAGAGCACTAAGAATCACTGGTTGTTTTTTTGTTTTGCTTGCGTTTTCTTTGATCTGTGGCTCACAACCTCAGCCCCATCGTATCATTGCCATCATAAAGTCTGCACCAGTTAAACCTGGCTTGTCGTTACTGAGTTTTAAACGTGTGCTTAGCAGAGATTGGAGTTCTCTAGGTAGCATTGCATCTGCATAAGGGGTTCATGAATTCTTCCTTGCCTAGAAAGCTGGAAAACAGACAGACTGTAGAAGAACAGGAGCCCAGCCAAGACGATGGAAAGAATTATGATTAACAGTGATATCCTACATTTCTAACAAAGAGATCAAAGGCGACCTGCCCAATTTCTCTTGTCTCTGATCTCTTTTTACCTTTACAATGACCCAGTGATGTTGGTTGCGTTGAGAGATAGTGAGTGACTCATACTCAGTAAATTTAGAGGCTACATGGAGACAACATAAGGTATGAGAGGCTGCTCTGGCTTGTTCCAAATTGCAATTCCAACACATGCAGAGTTGATCTACAAGTAGCCCACAGGCTCTGCCTAGGTGTCACTGTTATTTGATTTCGTTTCATGCAAATGCAACCGGTGTGTCCTTCTGGATGAAGGTCAATTCATGAATTACTTTATTTACACACACTTCGTTTCATCATGCATTAAAAATACACAGTGATCTTTTTATACCAAAATAATAATAATAATAAAAATAACAATTTGATCAAAAGAAACCACAAACACATAGATCCATTCCAAGAAATGTACAACATTCTTTCCTCTCATTCCACAGAAAAATACTGTTTCTTGCTGCTGTTGAAAAAAAGAAAAGAAAAGGAAAAAAACACTGCAAAACTGAGGTGGATAATAGAACAGCTAGAAATCTCAGTGAGTTGAGGTCTCTGGCTGTGGAGCCAGAGGTTGGGAGTTCGAATTCCCCTACTGGACCTCCTTAACGGGGGGGGTGGACTTGATGACCCAGAGGGCCCCTTCCAGCTCTGAAGCTCTAAGTAATAATATTATATAACTAAACTGTACCTGTGTGGGTGGTAATATTAAGGCCAAAGAGGTAGAGATGTGAAGACTTGGGGGGGGGAAATCTGGAGACGTTTTTTTCGGGGGGAAAAAACATTTTCCCTTTCTCCCCATGGAAAAAAGGGGGGAACTTCCCCCCACCCTGGTTTTCACATGTCTATGAGAAGGTAGCATAACCTGGAAAAAAGAAAGGCTTATCAATAACAAGAAACAGAGATTCAGGCTGTAGTCTGAAAGGCATTTCTCAAGAGAACGAGCCTCGGGCTTAAGTCTGAGATAAGCCTGGCCCGGAGGTTCGGGGATAGCAACGTGCCAGTTTTTAGGCGGCTGGCTTTGATTGTCATGAAGTTCATCGGGGGTTTTATTGCTAGGAAGGCAAAGGGGCATTTACCTGGCTTTAGATACTTGATTCAGGGAGAAAGAAGGGGCATAATTTACTCCCCCGGCACAGGCAGCCCATAATCTGGGTGAACAATGGCAGATTGGTCCTTTCAGACGCCTCTTCCGAGAATCCCACATAGCTGCCTGCCGAAAAATATGGATCGGCCGAACCTCTGCTAGGGAAGGTACCTTGATCCCAGCTGAGCACCCCAATAGATGGGGGGAAGATCTGATCCATGCTTAGCTGATCCACCTGCCCCTGACCGAAGCCCCTGAGGGGGGTGGCAGGAGAATAGCTTCTCGAGGCTGGTTCTTTCCTTGACAAGCCACCAATGTCTGAGACTCATGTGGGGTGATTTCTCCCATCCTCCCCCCATCCCCATTCCAGGATCCGAGCCTCAAGTCTAGCTTGAAGCAGTCTAGACCTAGCCAGGGGAACATCCACCTCCAACGAGAGTAGACGTCTGAATGGCAAGCTGGAGTGGAGGTGGAAAAGAAGGATGCTCTACCAGATCCTGGATTCCAAATCCCATCATCTTCAGCCAGTACAGTAAACGGAAAGGGGTGAGGACCATGGCCACCCAGTAATGCCAAGAGATGCATATGTTCCATCCTCCTGCTAAAGTCTCAGGCTTCCTGCTTGCCCAGAAATGCAGGAGAAGTGTGGATTTCTTGATCCCTAGAGAACAGATTTTGCCTCTCGTGATTAAAAGGACCAGCGTTTAATGATAATTCTACCCTGACGATGGAGACCAGCGCAAACGGAAGGGACTGAGGTTCTACACTATGTTGTAACAGACAACTGTTTCTTCCATGACCTAGCGGGCGCTATTTATATGCTGTGAAATGCACTCGCTCCTCAAATGCATACCTACACACACAGCGAGGAATTCAAGATTATTTTGGGTCTATCATCTGAGCACCTGTCAGCAGCCCCATCAAGGGTGGGTGTGTTTTAAGCTCAGGAGAGTCAGCTGGACAGATTGAATTTCCTTAGTTTCCATGTGTAGCATCTTTTACCGGGGAAGAGGAGAAGATATTACGGGGCCACTAAATAAAGGAGACCGGAGATGTCTTTGCAACTGGGAGAATTGTGACGAATACTGTGTTATGGACTTCCATTTTGTATTCTACAATAACAATAATAATAATAATGACACGCTGCCCAGTCTATTCCAATTGATGTGCTAGAGGAATGGGGGGAGAAAACCCAGGCCGTTTCCTGAATGTCTGAGTTTTCATGCAACTTAGGAAACAGCTGTTGCTCCATAAGAAACCACCACAAGTTGAGTTTCTGAAAGGGAGGGTGTCCATGATGCACAGAAGGGTCAAAATGTCATGGCAGCCCCTCTCTGGGCGATGCACCTGATTCTTCTGCAGTTGTTCCAGAGTGGGACCGCTTTTCCTTTCCGTCCGAGGTATGGAGAGAAACAAAACAGCCTTTCCCTTGCCTTATCTGAAATTCACGGCTTCATTATAAGGACACTTTCTCCTGCCCTGAGCGATGGAGTGGCAGGAAGTGGGCCTTGCACATTCCAAAGCCCACGGGAATCGTACAGCAAAAGCTCTGTTACAACAGTGGCTCCCGATTCACAGATCTCCCTGCCTCTCTTAGTGATCCTCTTGGAGAGCCAGCATTCAAAAAGAGGTGAGCTTCAGCGTTGTTCTTTAGAAAACGTTCCAGACCTGGTAAGCATCTTTTTTTTTAAGAAAGGCACCCAGAGATGGCAAAATCCACACTGGTGAAGGGAAAAGGCAGTATATGCGGGGCAAGAGAAGGGAAGGAAGCATTTTTGTCCACAGATATGAAAAATATGCAAGCACGAGTGAGTGCTATTTTAAAAACGAGTCAAAGCTGTGGAACTGCATGGATTCACTCACAGCGCGACCCGCCACCAGGTAAGTTAAAATCCAGGGAATGGCAACTCCCGCCAAGCCTTTTTGGTCCCCGAATCGAAAGAACGATGGACTTGAGCTACTCCTGGACCCCCACGTGGGCCTGTTTCAAAGCGTGCTGTTTCTCTCCACCTCGGCTTTCTTGTTGTATGGCATAGAAATGGCAGTGAAATCCGTCAGCTCATCTTTCTCACCCTCCCGAACGCCGTTCCTCTTGGCCATGATCTGGTAGATTTCCATGAAGGTTTTATGCTTGGTTTCGGGGACGATGATGAAGATGTAAATGACGGTGGCCAAGCAGATGGCGCAGAAAATCAGGAAGGAGTACGGCCCAAGTCCTTGCTGGCAAATTAAAGAGACCGGTTGAGAAAGCGTGAGAGGGCTGGAGGCCGCTCGCTGTAGTTAACACTCCTGAACTCTTTAAGACTTTAAATTATTTTACTTTGAACTGTTGACTGGTTTAATTATGAGCTTGGATTTTGTATTCTCCCCCCACCCTGTATTCCAGGAGATGTAATCTAAACAAGTAACACTTCCATGTTCTGGTTAAAACTAGTTTGAATAATTAAAACCATTGGGTGGACTTCCAAATAAAAGTCAACTGGGGGGGGGGGAGCGAGCTCTTGATGGCTTTGAGTGGGTTAAGCCAACAGGCCATCTCATCATGGATCCTTGACTTCCTTACCTCCATGTATTTGAAGACCAGCCCCACAGTGAAATTGGAAAGCCAGTGGACCGAGCCTCCCACCATGAAGGCGGCAGGGCGGGAGTTCTGGAGGAACATCTCAATAATCATCACACTCGGAATGGCACCTGGGAGGAACGGGAAAAGGTCAGGAGAAGGTAAAAGGCTCAGCAAACCACCTATATTGGTGACTTCACAACAGCTGTCTAAGGATGGCGTGCTGTGTAGGATGAGCAATTCTATGAAGACAGCCTCCCTCCTGCCCACCTTGCTCCTTGCAGATGTTTTGGGCTATATTGGTGACTTCACAACAGCTGTCTAGGATGGCGTGCTGTGTAGGATGAGCAAATCTATGAAGACAGCCTCCCTCCCGCCCATCTTGCTCCTTCCAGATGTTTTGGAACAACAGCTCCCCTGGCCTGTATTGGCTGTGTCTGGTGGGAGTTGTAGCCTCCAGGTTGGAGGAGACAATCCATGGTCAACATCACGGAGCCCAGAGGGAGACAGAACTGGCCTGCGTAGACTTACTTGCTCCGACAGCGTGCCCAATGACGTAGGCGATGACGCAGGCGATGCTGAGATAAGGCATCCATGAGACAGTAGACTGTTGGGAAATTGAGTTAGCATTTAGATCCATTTCCTAAAGGGGAGGCATCCGTATGCAACAAACAAAAAAAGGGTGAATGCAGACCTTGCTTTCCTGTACAAAGCTCCTGAGCTGCAAGGAGAGGAGGAGCACAGAAAAGCTGCTTTCTGCTGAGCCAGGGGCTGTTGGTCCTGTTACGGCCCGCTCTGACTGGCAGCCATGGCTCTCTAGAAGAATTCCTAGCCCTACTAGGGGATCCTTGGTATTGGCGGCTGGTCTCGCGTCCAAACACCATCCAGATCTGATCCAGCTTGGCTTCCAGGATTAAACAATAATGATGTGCCGTCCAGTCCATTATTATTATTATCCTTTCCAGGGTTTTCCAGCTAGAGAATCATCAGCAGTGTTCTCCCCTTCCCTTCTTCTGGGGAGGGATCCCTGGGGGATGGCGCAGCTTGCCCAAGGCCACCCAGGCTGGCTCTACTCTCAGGAGGCCCACTAGGGGAATCAAACTCCCAACCTCTGGTTCTACAGCCACTTATTTCAGTGTTCAAGCAAGATGCTGCATTATTCTTTTATGTCCTGGTGCTCTGGCAGGGGAGGGGGACAAAGTGGCACAGGATGAAGGGCTTAAGTGTCTTTGCCAACAAATACCCCTTTGGGTGTAAAATGTGACACTTTAGCCTTTATGTAATGGAGACGGGAAAATCCCTGGCCCCCTCCATCACATCCTGTTCAGCTGGACCTGAATATTCAGGTGGAGAACCTGTGGCCCTCCAGACAGTGCTAGGCTCCAGCCCACCTCAGCCCTGAGCCATCATGGCCAGTAGGGCGAGGATGATAGGAGCCGTAGTTATTACAGGAATTGTAGTCCTTTCAGGAGGGAAGATGTAGCCTGCTCGCATCTGAATGGAGGGTTAGCAGTGCAATCCTATAGGCGTATCCTATAGGCCAACTAAGTTCAGTGAAGACACCTGGGGTAGGCAAGCAGTCCTGGGGGAGAGGCAGGTTCTCCCAATCATAAAGAAGAATTTATTTAAGGGGTCGGTTACAGACCTGGAAATTCAGAGCCACGGTCAGAACAGCGCAGGCCACACAGCAGAGACCAAAGCCGATGAGCAGTAGAATCCTCCTTCCTAGGGCGTCAACAATAAAAACCTGGAAGATGAGGAAGGAAAAAGGCAAACGGTTAAAGCCTTCTTGCAGGCATTTGTGCCCCTGGTGGGGGCTGTACCGGTGAAACTCTTGCCTGCTCGCCATGAGATGTGCTGCGAAAAGAGTCACATCGCCTTGGCAGCTGAAACTTTTATTTTTACAGTGTTGGAAAAATAAAACACAATTCGTCATTCAACTGTTGATGATTTTACTACCTTAGCTATGTGCAAACACCTGTTCCACCAACGTTAACTTCAAAACTTTTATCTGACATGTAATAAGCTTATATATCTTTAATAATCTTAGAACTGCTGAGCTGGAAGGGATCCTATAGATCATCAAGTCCAGCCCCTATCAGGGAGACCCAGTGGGGGGAATTAAACTCCCAACCTCTGGCTCTCACAGCCAGAGACCTCAACCACTGAGCCATCCAGCAGTTGTATGAAAATATATCCTTGGTCCACAGCAATGGTATCTTTTATCTCTCCCTTCTCTCTTTCTTTCTTTCTTTCTTTCTGTCTTTCTTTCTTTCTTTCTTTCTTTCTTTCTCTGGCTTCCCTCAATGCGTTTCTAATTTGAAAAGTTCAGTAGAATTAATTTTTAAAAGTCAAAAAGTGTAACAATACCGCTAACAAAGTCATGACGACATTAACGGCTCCAGTCCCTGCTGTGACAAACTGCACACTGTATTCGTTCACTCCAGCACTCCGGTAAATATCGTCAGCGTAATAGTAAACCTGAAATTGGAAGCAAACACTTATGTCACCATGTCTGGCTATATATTTTAAATATATTTTAATTGTTTTATCTTTTTTATTGTATTTAAATTGTTGTAAGCCGCCCAGCCCATTCACGGATTGCTGCTTTGTCTTGGCAAAGGGCCTTGAGTCATTCAGAGAAGCTATGGGCTATGCTGTGCAGGGACATCCAAGACGGACAGGTCATAGTGGAGAGTTCTGGCTAAACGCGATCCACCTGGAGCAGGAACTGGCAAGCCACTCCAGCATCTTTGCCAAGAAAACCCCATGGACAGAAACAAAAGGCTGAAAGATATGACACTGGAAGATGAACCCCTCAGGTCGGAAGACATCCAACATGCTACTGAGGAAGAGCGGAGGACAAGTACAAGTAGCTCCAGAGCTAATGAAGTGGTTGGGCCAACGCTGAAAGGATGCTCAGCTGCGGACGTGCCTGGAAGTGAAAGGAAAGTCCGATGCTACAAAGAAAAATACTGCATAGGAACCTGGCACATAAGATCTATGAACCTTGGGAAGCCGGATGTGGTCAAACAGGAGATGGCAAGAATAAACATTGACATCTTGGGTGTCAGTGAACTAAAATGGACGGGAATGGGCAAATTAAATTCAGACGATTATCATATCTACTATTGTGGTCAAGAATCCTGTAGAAATGGAGTGCCCTTCATAGTCAACAAAAGAGTGGGAAAAGCTGTACTTGGATAAAAAATTGTCAATTCTCATTTACCGCATTAACCCCGGAGAGTTGCTGCCCCATCATCATCACGATGATGGAGATAAGTTGCCATCGGAGTCCGCGGTAGGTGAAAAGGGTCAGCACCGACATCCGCCCTTCGGCCTTCTCCGCCTGGTCTTCTTTCTGCATCTCCTCTATCTCATCATCCACATCATCCCAGCCTCTCAGTCTCCGCAGAGCTGACCCAGGGGAGGAAAGGAAGAAAATGAAACTGTAGGAAGCAAGCTGAGAAGTTAGAACCGGCTTCTACACTTCACCTCCGGCGCCGGCATCTTTCCATTTACAACGTTGCATTTCTTAACATGCACCCACTTCTCAGGCATGTTTGAAGCCTAGACCTCCCCATGCACCACATGGCCCCCATACTAAAAAATATTTTGCCAACCAATGGGTTTTGTCACCCTTATCATCATCTTACAACGGCGGAGCTGGGAGGGACCCTATGGACCATCACGTCCAGCCCCCTGTCAAGGAGGCCCAGTGGGGGAATCGAACTCCCAACCTCTGGCTCTGCCATCAGAGACTGAACCACTAAGCTATATAGATATTATTTTTCTGACCAAAGGGAAGTGAGACGTGTTCAAAGTGGTATGTTTTAAATCTCTTTCTCCTCCATGTCACCATCTGAGAGTATGCTACAGCAGAAACCCTACCTGCCCTTGCTCCGTCTTCATCTCCTTTCTGGATCAGCAGGTACCGTGGGCTCTCCGGGAAAAAGGGTAGGAGGAGAAGCTGCAAGGCAGCAGGGACTCCTGTTAGGCCCAAGAGTATTGGCCAGCCTGCAAACAAGAACGAGACATCTCACTGTGCCTGCATGGATGGATCTCAAGAAACCATTTGACTGACTCACATGTAACAGTAAGCCAGGTTTTGATGTGGGTTCTGCCTTATTGCTGTCTCTGATTCCATCTAATCATGGTCTGTTAACTAAACCATAGTCTGTTCCAAATCATAGTTTACATAAAACCACAATCCGTATCAATGGTTAGTTGTTAGCTTACAGAACGTGGTTTCTTTAAGCCTTGTCTTGTGGTTATGGCTGAACCCTAATCTGGGTTGTCCCTGGCTTGTTTCTCCAGGTCTAAGCCCTGAAATAAGAGCTGATAACTGGCTTTGGAAAGAAACAGGCCCCAAAGATACAAACCATGGTTAACAGAGACTGTGGCTTAGCATGATGGGCAAAGGTGGTCACTGTATGATGGAACGAAATTCCTCACCTTCAGGGCTTCCCAAGATCATCCGCATCCCGAGAATCTGGGCAACCAGAATCCCAATTGTGATGAAAAGCTGGGGGACCACCCCTGAGGCTCCCCTTAGGTTTTTGGGGGACATCTCTCCAAGATACATGGGAACAACATTAGAAGACAGACCTGGATGAAGTGGAGCAAATACAGATAAGACAAGGTGTTGTGGTACGTCGCCACCTTCTGCTTATACTGAACCTACATAGCACAGATCCAAATTATGGCCCAAGAAAGCCAGGAAATTCTACTTTTATATAGTATATACAATATATGCATATATACATATACATATACACACACGTGTGTGGTGTGTGTGTGTGCACATGTATATGTGTGTGTGTATGGTGTGTGCATGTATATGTGTGTGTATGTGTATGTATATATATATGTGTGTGTATGTATATACACACACACACACACACACACACACACTTTGTTCTATCAAGCTTCTGAGGTTTACATAACCAGGAGCTAGTGATAAACACAGATAATATATTATTAGGTTATTTTCTATTGTTCTTCTGGTTGCTGTTTGATCTCTCGAGTTAATTTTACTGATTTGGGCAGCTTCGTTGGAGGTTAAGCCGCCCTCTCATACATCTGCTTCCTGTTTACCTTTCACACCCAGACTAAGCCAAGCTATTATTCCCTGAAATATCAAGTCTGATTCGTCCTTCTGCAGCACCATCAAGGGGGAAAGAGCTAGAGAACATGGCAGGGTGCAGATTCTATTCTTTAACCCCTGGATTTTATTGGGTGAGGGGTTGTTGTTGTTTTTTTAATCCAAACAACTATCAGTTAAATCAGTTTTTCCATCTCTTATTAGTGCTGCTGATAAGGAGAGTTTGCTGCCGGAAGCAACAATACGGCACCCGTTCGCAGGCTGTGTATGAAAACTGGCTGGATTAGCATCTGAAATCTTTTTTTCAAGTTTAGCAAACAGGGGTTTATACCAATACAAGGCACGCCACCCCTCTTCCAGTTCTTCCCTGATGCCTCAGTGGTTGTGTCTGTGGACACGACCTCCTTCTACCTAATGGTAGGGCCGGCCCTGTTGAAACATGATCTACATCTCTGCGGCCTCACATCACTTTCAGATCAAAACGATGTGCTCAAACCACATTTTTGGCTGCCAAAGAAAACCTCCACCGGAAATAGATTCTGCCAGCTTTTGTAGGAAGCCAGATCATTGCCCCGTCTTAATTCTGCCTACTCTTCGTAGTAGCAATATGCCAGCATCTTGGGCAGTGATTTTTTCCCCCACGGACTACACCTGCCATCAAAATGCCTGAGATCTGCCACTGAGCTGTTAGACTCCCTTGAAAAACAAAGATTCTAGTCCTCATAGATAAAGAGAGGATTTAAACAGCAGGACAGGCCACTGTTTCCTCCTAAGAACTGCTGCTTGATTTCTTCTACCGGGAGATGATGGGGATTGAACCCGTAATCTTCTGTGTACCCACTGCTCCTCCACTACCTGCCTTCCCTTCTCAAGCCATGTGACTCACCAGCGCAGACTCCAATGATGATCCGGCAAACGATGATGATTTCAAAAGTCTTTGCCACCTTGGAGCTTCCCATGAGAATGGCAGGGATGATGGAGAAGATGTTGTTGATCAGCAAGGTGCCTTTTCTGGAAAGGAAGGGAGGGGAAGGTCAGTCTCAAAGGCTCCCCACGAAAGAGTTACCAGCTTGCTCTAACTGTGGAGGGTGGGCGGATGTTAGAAGCTGCCGCACCCTTAAAAGTAACTTTTGCGCACGCTGTTCCCTTTCCAATTTTCCTCCAACCCTTTTCACTTACAATCTTAGAAAGACCGAGATGAAAGGGAGCTCAAGGGTCATCTAGTCTAACCCCCTACCAATGCAGGCCTAGCCAATATTTTCCTTGCATTTCTTTGTTTTTCTTCTACTTTCGAAGAAAAAATTAACCTATTTTTCTTCCAAGGTGCTCAAGAGGGAGTACAAACCTCTCACTTCTGCTCCTCATTTAACCTCGCCAACCCTCCTGCAAGGTAGGCCAGGCTGAGAGACCGACCTGGAACCCAGCACGAGTTCACCCGGTGACCTTCAGTGCTTCAGTGGATGTAATAACCTGGGCTCGTTAGCTCTAGTTTGACTCTTTATACACCACACATTCCATCATCCCCAGCCATGGACTATGCTGGGGAGGGGGCGATGGGTGTTCAAGCTAAGTATCTGGAGGTTTAAGGTTTCTAACCCTTGCTCTGCACCCAGCTTTCCCAAACCCTGCATCTGCCAGATGGATCGGACTACCGCTCCCATGATCCCCTGCCAGCTGGCCGGGGCTGATGGGGACGGTAGTCCAACCAGTGCAGAACAGGGGGAAAGCGTTGTGTGTTGGACCATATCACGCCGTGCGTCTTAATGCTGAGCAAAAGTCGCTCGGCAGGCGGGGGGGGGAGTTGACCCTTTCCTTACCTGCCACATCGGTTCACCATGGGGCCCACCAGAAGGGACCCGAAAAAGCCTCCGAGGGGGAAGAAGGAGACCGTGAGAGACCAGAGCAGGGTTTCTAAGTCTTGGTCCATGTATTTGTCCTCTCTTTCCTGGTAGGTTTCGTTGTAAAAGTCTTGCATGAACTGGGGGAGAAGGCAGGTAGGGGGGAAAAGGCTTGTTAAAAATCACAAACTGAGCCTTCCTCGAAACCCCCTCTGGTCTTACTGCCTCCAACAGCGCCACACTCTTCCTCTTCCATAGAGATCTGGAAATACATTACAGTATGTATTTCTTTGGGGGGGCTTATAACTGGCTGGAGAGGATTCTGGGAGTTGTATTACAAAACCCACCCACCCCAAGCTTCCTCTCTCATCCCTCACCTTTCTTATCAGTTTTATTCCTGACTTTTCAACCTGTTCCTATTTTAACAAATTAGCCCTGCCGTTTGTTGACTTTGTCCCTTGAGGCACACAGAACAAAATGAAGTGAAACAAAACAAAATTAGTCAAAATTCAGTGTGTCTGTTTATTCCACACACACCCCAAAGGCAAAATCCACTGGATTAGGAATATTTTTTTAATATCCCTCTTTCTACCTTTTTTTGGCATGGAGCCTTCCAGATCAGACTTACCACGGATGGAGAATTGATCACGGAGACGTTGTACCCATATTGGAAAGAGGATCCAAAGGCAGCAATGAAGGTCACAAAGCCGAGGACGACGGTCATTCGCTACCGGAAAGAAAAGTGAAGGGCCAGAAGTTACTGAACGGTGAGAGCCAGATAACATTATTTATTTTATCTTATTTAAATTTATTCCAGAAATTGTTTTGATGCCTTGACCAAAAAGCCTTGGGTTCAGAATCTACGATGCCTATGAGATGATCAGCACCAACCCCCAATTTCACTCTTCTCGTGTCTTCCTTTCTGGGGCACAGACATAATATTAATGTCCTACTTTATAGGGTTGTCGTAAAGGACAGGTATCAGAACTGCTCTAAACAATTTTTTAAGACTCTGTACAAAGGCTGGATATGTTTCTTAATATGTTTTTGTTCACAGACATATCATAACTTATAAAACAAGACTGAACGGGCCTCAAAACTGCTGGGAGGTTGCAACGGAGATTCCAGAAGATGTGCCACAAACACACTGGTACTGAATATTTGCTGAACATTCCATTGCGAATATTTGAAAACGCATTTGCACTGATGCATACTATTTGTAATACGAATGTGCCCGTGAATGCAAAGAAAGGCAGCACACAACATTAATTAAATTAATTAAATAAATAAAGAGCTGCACCCTTGTTCTCCGTCAGACCATCTTTGGGGTCAAGGTGTCGGCAACACAGAAACCACCACCTCTGATAGTGAATCGGAGACGGCTTAAAAAGAGAACCAAGCTGTTGCAAATTTTTGAGATCAGAAATAAGTCACTTTTCATATGACCAGCCGTGCTGGCTGCGGGATGCTGGGAGTGTCCCCCCCCCAAGTCATGTTTTGAAGCTGTGATATATCTCCATATTGGAGGAGGCAAAGCAGCGGTGCCTGGTTTGGATGAGAAAAGGGCTCCTTGGAAAAGGGGCACAATCCAGCACAGGAAAAGCACCCTCCACTCCACTAGCAGGTTGCTTTTGGAACAGGGGATCGGTTGATGAGCACACTTAGCTCCATTCACCGAGGAGAGCGAGGAAGACCGGCTAGGATATGGCCCCGGCTAGCCCTTAGGATCTCCCACCTGAGCCAGCTGCCTCACTCGGCCCAATGGCAGGGCCAACTCCGACAAAGAATTACTCGAAGCGGAGGAGAGAAGGGTCTCCCTCCCCTCTCCCAGCCCAGCTGTCACTGCACTGAGCCCCTGCAGCAGGGACGATAACTTTTGCATGCATGTTTCCCCCACACACACACACCTTTTCCCCCTGCGGATGGGAAACAACTTTTAGCATAAACAGTATCAGCCTACAAACAACACAGCATTCTTGTGCAGTGCTGAATTCTCCAGCTGCAGCCTGCTGTGCTATCAGCAGGAAGGGGCATTTTGTGAAAAAGCACAGCTAGAGCGCTGGAGAGTCATCTCCCACAGGCGGGTCATATTTTCCATTGAGAAACCGGCCTCTCCTTTCATCGCTCCTGACCTTAATGCTTGCTCTGTTCTCCCTGTCTCTCCCACCCTGCGTCTGATGTCCTCAGCTGGCCAGGCCCCTGGTGACCGAGACAAATTTATCACTGGCCCACGTGGGCTCTTTCTGTGTCGGGGTTTTTCCTGGAAGACTCAGATGCCGCCTTGTGGAATGAAGTCATTTGTTTGTTTGTTTGTTTGTTTGTTTGTTTGTTTGTTTGTTTGTTTGTTTGTTTGTTTGTTTGTTTAATATACTGCTTCATGGTCAAGGGAGATTCTGAGAGCTGCAATTTGAAAAGCGAACATTTCCAACTGCGGTTCAAAAGGCAATATTTTTGAGACAGCCTCTGTTCCCCTTGGCATCCGTGAGGTTGCCCAGAACTGTACCCCTAAAATTAACAATTCTTAGAACTTCCAGGGGGAGGGACAGTCTGAAAACATACGCACGCACACACGCAATTAATTAAATAAATAAAGAGAGAGAGAGAGAGAGAGACAGACAGACAGACAGACAGACACAGACAGACAGACAGACACACACACACACACCTGCCCTGCAGCGTTGTTCTTACTGTTCACATCTCTCTCCTGCTGTTCAATCAAGAGTCTCCTAAAACTTTTTCCCTGCCCAGGAAAAGCGGGATGCAGATGCAGCTAATAAATTAGGTGACCAACTGGGCATCCTTTTATAATCTGCAAAGTGAAAAGGGATTTGTAGAAGTGTGAAGGGGGATTTCCACTGTAAACACCAGTCACTTCAGTTTAGCACCTATCTTTGCTCTTTCTCTTGCGCTTCTGTTTGACACCAGCCTTCCCCCCCCCCNCACAGGCCAGCCTCCATCCTTCTCAAGAGATCCCTGTTGGATCACACTGGCTTTAAAGTTCCCCTTTGGCTCATAGGATCCACAGTTTTACAACCAACGGACTGTTACCAAACACTCAAATTTTTCCTGGCGACTGTGCCACCTCGCCCTGAGAACGTGACATATGTTTCGAAGGTCCGGCTGCAGAGAGACTGATTCCTGTGCTGTGTTTTGGTTCTCTCCCACCTGATTTCTGTCACCTTTCACAATACTTTCCCCCCTCCCCTCTGCCCTGGAAAGACAGCTAAAAGCAGGCGACAGCATCAGAAGGACAAAGCACTCCCCTCTGTATTATTCAGCAGACTTGAAACCATGTTCTCGGTAGATTAATATGTGGCATATATAATCAGTTTCAGATAGATATATATATATCCCAACATTTCGTCATCTTTGCTTGACATCTGTGCCCAAATATCTTTAAAAAAGAAGTTGCATTTTCAGTTCACAACCCACCTGCATATCCTTTTCTGCTAACTTTTGATTTTCTTATTCCTTGCCCAATTTCCTTGCACAAAAATATCAATTACGTTTCCAAGAGACAGAGCAATGGAAGCCACTCACCCCTTTCTTGACCTCCCCAGATTCTTTAAGCTCTTCGTTGGTCTTCATGGTAAACGCTCTGCTGTCAGACCTTACTTCTGTAGGGCTCTGTATGCAGCGAAGGACGCAGAGCAGCCGAATAGAAAGGATATCTATATATACACACATATATATACACACGTCCACACGTCTTGGGAACACCCAACAATATATTTTACAGCCTAATAATGTACAAAGCTTGCCCTCTGAACTTTTTCCCCGGATCCCTGCATGACTCCCTCTCGTGCCGGCCTCATGGCTGGGTTTTCCTTCTTGCCGTCCAAGGCCTCGGATCCGGGCATGCCAAGTGTCTTTACGACCAACGGCATGGGCTAGGTGCCAGCCACCTTGGCAGCTGTGCCCCTCTTTTCTCGACCCGAATTGAAAAGGATCTCGGGTTGCAGGATCAGGAGGTGGGTTCCTTCTCTCTGCCTCTTCCAAATCCTGGGTGATCTATCGGAGGACTCTTTCTCTCTGATCTTTCTCTCTCTCTTTCTCTCTCTCTTGCCTGATTTCAGAGCCTCCCTTTGGGTTCCTTCTCTCTGCCTCTTCCAAATCGTGGGTGATCTATCGGAGGACTCTTTCTCTTTGATCTCTCTCTCTCTCTCTCTCTCTCTTGCCTGGTTTCAGAGCCTCCCTGTTTCTACTGCAGCTGCAACTGCTGGAAAGAAAAACAGGGTACCTTGCCAACCCTCGCCTCGCTCTGCAACAGGCGGGGTGGAGCAATAAACGAAAAGAAATTAATCGCCGATATGGAATAAGTCACACCACTTATGTGGCCAGAGAATCATTCAGCTGGAGACAAACGTTTGGTTCAAACGCTCCCAACGTCCCTGTTTCCTGTTGTAATCTATTCCTGCAGGGGAAGCATTTAAGTGAAGTGATTGGAGATGCCCTAATCCTCTAGAAGTACATGTTTGATAGAACATATTCATTTCAATTGGAGTTCCTTTAATTGAGACTATGGGCAGAGGATGGATTTCGGAACAGCTCAAAGTGCCCACTTCGGGTGCATTCTACCAGTCTGTAGCCAGAAATATAAAAAATGCTAGCAAGGAATTGCTAACTAAGTATCGCCCCCCCTGCAAAACCCACCAAATTTTTGGACAACGTTTTGGTTGACCTCTGTGGCACCTACTGAAAAAAGAGGGGAAGGGAGCAACCTCTGTTTAAATAAGGCCATTTGGTCTCCTGGCCTAGACACTTTGTGACCCATTTCAGCATTCCTAAGAAAAAGACATACAAGAATTTTAAAAAGTAGTGGTGAAATAGCTACCTAGGCTCTTACATTCTGTTGAAAAAAATGTGTCCTGAAGTGAACTCCATCCAGTGAGAGAAATTTGAAAGGCTTGGACATCTCAAGGTGCTAGATCTCATCAAGGACGGCTTTTCTTCCCTCACTGTCCTGCCTCCATCACTTATTCTCCAGCACCAAACACTGGTGTTCTCACCAGTCTCACTCTTATGAGCTCAAGCAGAAAACCCACAATAGCACGTGTTTTTTTTTTGTTCCAGAGCAGAGGAAAGCTGCATCAGCTGGATTTCTACTTGCTAAGATATAAACAAAACAAGAATAAAATGAAATAAAATAAAAACGTGGGACTCTGTAGTTGGCAAATTTTCCATTTTACTCTTGTATGATCCCACATGGGCCCGGAAAATATTCTGAGGAAAGCAATAAAGCCACTAAGAATATGCTGCTTCAAGTGTGATAAAACTTTGCAACTGCAGGGTTTTTTTTTTGGGGGGCGGACTACAACTCCCAGAATCCCCTATCTATGTGACAAATGATAAAGGACTATGGGAATTGTAGTTTTAAAAAAACATGTGGCCTGCCAAAGGTTTGCCACCCTTTTACCCTTGAACCGCCCTCTGCTCTGCCTGCAGCCTTGAGGCCTAGTTTCATGGGGGAGATGCAGGATGCGGTTGCCTAGCAACCTCTCCCTCCTGGTGCTTCCTCACTCCTTCCAAGGGCTGCTCCCGTCTTTTCAGAATCTTGAATCCTTTACATTCATTGAGTGTTGTCAAGAAAGCGAAGCAGACATTTCTCTCTGACAAATAATTATTCTTGATGATTTCTTAATCCCACCTTTTTCTCCAAGGAGAAAGCTGTTGATACCCCCAATCTACCATTTAATGCTCACAAGAACAGTATGAGTTTGCTTGACC